GTGTTTTGTATGTGGGCGGGTTGCGTGGGGCCGGCTCAGCCCGGCAGCACAGAGGAGGCGCAGGAGGCATTTGCTGCTTTGCACGGCACGCGGTTTGGGGGGGGGGGGCTGGTTGCTTTTTGCAGGGCAGCCCCCAGGTGGCGGGGGGGGGGGTGACACACCCTTAGCCTGCTGCACGGGCAGGGTGCATGCATAATGCATTACCCTAGATGCAGGGTTAGCTTGGTGCCTGGACAAGACCTGGTGGGAGGATGGCATCTGGTCTGGAGGCGGGGCGGGGCGGCTGGGAATTTGTGGCTTTTCAGGAGGGTCTGGGAGGGGCCTGGTGGATTTTTTTCAGGGGGTCCCGGCGGGGGTGGGGTGGTGCAGTTTTTCAAGGTGTCCTGGGGGGAGCGCGGCAGTGTAGCGGGGGGGCAGAGACTCTCTCAAAGGCTCAGGCAGTTGGGAAGGCTTGGGGCTCCCCAAGCCTCTGGGAAGGGTTATGGGGGGGTTAGGGTGCCCTGGGGGAGAAGGGGGTGCTGGCTTTGTTCCCTTTGCTCTAACGTGGCCCTGTCTAACCAAACAGCACACAAGGCATCTGTGCCCTTTGCAGGGTCGCAGGTTGATAGAGGCTGAGCTCAGCTCCTGCAAAGGCCACATAGCTGCAGCGTTTGCCCCTTGCCCAGCCCTCAGGAACTAGCCCCCCTGCCGCCGCCACACACACCCCCCCCAGGGTCCCAGTTTCAGTGGTCCTGGAGGGAGCCCCTCCCTCTACAACTCCATGCTCAGTGCCTTCCTCTGCCGCCCCCTCCTTTTCTAACCCAAATTAAGCTATTTTAAGAACGTAGGAAGCGCCATACTGGGTCAGCCCAAAGGTCCATCAAGCCAAGTATCTTGTCCTCTGACAGTGGCCAATGGCAGGTGCCCCAAAGGCAATGAACAGACAGGTTATCATCAAGTGATCCATGCCCTGTCACCCAATCCTAGCTTCTGGCAAACAGGCTAGGGACACCATTCCTGCCCATCCTGGCTAATAGATTCATGGAGGATAGGTCCATCAATGGCTATCTAGCTCTCTTTTGAACCCCATTATAGTACTGGCCTTCTCAACACCCTCTGGCAAGGAGTTCCAGAGGTTGACAGAGCGTTGCATGAAAAAAATACTTTCTTGTGTTTGTTTACTACCTACTAATTTCATTTGGTGCCCCCTTGTTCTTGTATTATGAGAAGGAGTAAATAACACTTCCTTATTTACTTTCCCTATACCACTCATGATTTTATAGATCTCTATCATATCCCCCCTTAGTCGCTTCTTTGCCAAGCTGCATGAGAAACCCAGAGTTCAGAAAAGGTATGACGCCTGGCCACTGTCTACAATACGCTCCACTTTTGCTGCCTTCTTTCCAGTCACTGACCCCAAGGAGTTGGGGTGCACGTGTTGATCATTTCTGCCCGTGGCCCAGAGCTTTGAAAATGCCACTTGGCCATGGGTTTTGACAGAGAAACTGGGCAGAGGAGCCCGACATGTGTCCAGTCACTTTATTTTATTTTTGTAAACATCCAAACTTGGTACAATAAATACAGTGCCTGTAGCGTCGGCGCTAAACGCATCCACGTGTGAATGTGCAAAAAGTGCAAGCACCAGCCCGTGCAACAGCCTTTTCAAAATAGTTACCGCAGTGCCATGGGGGCTACCCAGCTTTGCGGCATGTGTCTGCCATGCTCTGGGAGGGATAGGAGGGGGGAGATGGTACCCAGACTCTCAGGGGATGGGAGTGCCATCTGCTGCTCTCAGGAAATCCCCTCCAGCTTACCCCAGACAATAGGTACGTCTGCGCTGCAATAAAAGACCCACAGCACGGCTATGGCTGGCCCAGATTGGCTGATTCGGGTTTGGGGGGTTAAAAATTGCAGGGTAGATGTGTGAGCGTGGACTGGAGCCTGGGCTCTGAGACCCCCATGCGGTTCCCATCAGGCCTATCAAGAGAAATTTGGGGCCCCGGCCCATCATATTTGCTGAGGCCCCATCCCCTCCCATTTCACCTCAGTTACAGACATTTTGGGGGTCCCCCTGAGCCCCTCTTTTCTCCCCTCATGTCATCCTTGATGTTATGATGTGTACAGTGGTTGTGCCTGGCAGCCTGGGACCCCATGGCGCTGGCGCTGCGAAACAGAACAACTAGTCCCTGCCCCAAAGAGCTTCCAGTCTAAGGCATCGTTCAAGCAGCTGCTATATTTACCTCAAAGAACACAGCTGGGGTTTAGATCAAGGGTAACATTTTCAAAAGCCCCCTAAGTGACTTAGGAGCCTCGGGACATTTTTAAAGGTATTTAGGTGCCTAAAGATGCAGATAGGGAACCTTGTGGGCAGGAGCCCTGCCAGCTTTTCTGCCGCCCTAGGCGGCGGAAGGTCCCGCCCCGAAATGCCGCCCCCCACAGAGGCAGCGGAAGGTCCCACCACCGAAATACCGCCGCGGTCGCTGCCCCCCAAATTGTAGTGCGCCTAATGGGTTGCGCCGGCCCTGCTCGTGGGAGTTTCAGAAGCACCTAGGTGTCTCAACTCCAGACCAATGGGAATTAGGCACGTTTGAGCCTTCCCCAGCACCTCTTTGCACCTTTTGGCTCCTAAGTACCTTTAGAAATCTGTCTCTCAAATCCCATTTTCAAAAGAGACTAAGGCACTTAGGAGCCTAAATCTCCTGGACTTTACCTGAGATTTAGGCTGGGATTTTGAAATGTGACTGGCGATTTTGGGTGCCTCATTTGGGGGAGGGGGGACGACAGCTTGAGATACTTAAAGGCCCCTGCTTTTCATAAAGCGCCGAGCTCCCACCCTTAGAAAGTCAGGCCCCCTCAAATCAGACCCCCAAAATCACTAGTCCCTTTTAAAAATCTTGCCTAAGTCACTTTTGAAAATGGGACTTGGGGTAAAATTTTCTAAAGCATCTAAGCGACAGGCGCCGAAGTCCCATCACCTTTCAGTGAGATCTAGGCTCCTAAGGCCCAACGTCTCAGACATATTTAGGTGCCCAACTCCCAGTGACATGCGTGGGAGTTAGGCACCTAAGCACCTTTGAGGCTCTAGCCATAAGGCACTTGAAAATGCATCAAAGTCCCTTCGGTGCTTGTGAAAATTCAACCCCCCCTTGCAGTACTGGGAACCCAAACACAGCAGCATCAACCAGAAAGTGAAACTGCTCGGTACAGACTCTCTGCCTCAACCCAAGTGAAACAAAACACAAGAGAACAGCTAAGAGGTGAAAAGTGACGTGCCAAAGCCACCTAGGGCTGTTGGGCACCCATTGAAAGTCAGTGGCACCTGGGGAGTGAATTGCCAGCTGTGCCTTGGAAAATCTCCCGCTCAGCTCTGAAAACTTCCTGCAGCTTTAACAGCCTGGGGGTTTGTCGGTAATGTGGCAGGCCATTTGTTGCTTTAAAATGTCTGAATAACACGGGGTTAACTCTGGCAGCTTCCTCGCCCCCACACGTGCAATGTTATGCGGGGCTGAGGACATACACCCAAGAGATCTTACACTAAAGGAGGACTAAGGATGCATGCCTGGGCAGCGGACAGAGACAAACAGCAAGGAAGCGTAGTCTGGGAAAGTTAAATGCAAGGTTATTATGGGCCTGGGTGTTGGGAGAGCTGGTTAGTTTCCTGCATCAGACTCCTGACAATAAACGCTTGGGAGAAAAACGCTCTCTGTGAAATACATTTGCCCTTGTCCCGCTCGCCAGCTTGCAGCATCCCGTCACTGCCTAGGGGGAGCTGTGGCAGGATGCAGAGTGAAGTCTTTGACCCTGGGCACGGTATTTCCAGCCACCTGGGTCCTGGCTGCTTCGGTGCCATTTGCAAATGGAGACACTTCCCTTGAAAGGTGCCAGGAATTAACAAAGCTAACGCTGCCGCACTACTTTCCCCAGCGGGTCCCCGTTCTCCCCTCTCCCTTCCAGGCTAACCTGGAGCTGGTCAGCGTACAAACTGGAGCATCACTTTTCCAGCTGCCAGGACCTGGGCTTTATCTGCCTCTTGGGAACAGAATTCTGCAGCTGGAGCCGAAGTGCCGATTCCACAAGGATGCAGGAGGCAGAACGGAATCCAGCGCCTTCTTCCAGAGCCAGATCAGCTCTTCGGGGCTCAAAGGAACTCCTCCTCCTTTGGCCATCGCTGCGCTAAGGCAAAATTACTCCCTCTCCTGTAGCTGCAGGTGAAAAAAAACTTGTTTCCATCCATAAAGCCAACCGGGATCAGTCCGATTGAGACCAACAGCCACTCTGGTTTTAGATCTACAGGGGTACGTCTACACTGTGATAAAAACCCTGTGTCTGGTCTGGGTCAGCTGACTCGGCCTGCGGAACTATAAAAGTGTAGTGTAGAGGTTCGGGCTCTGAGGGATTGCAAGACCAAAAGGGACCGTTAGATCATCTGGTCTGACTGCCTGTCTCACAGGCCAGAGGACCCCGTACTGAGCCCAATAACGCTTATGCTCCTACGGTCACGTTTCTAACTGTAACAGCACTCATAAAAACCTGTGTAAGCCAAGTCCTCCATTTAAGCCGGCCTAACCTTAGAAGCCCCCCAGTGTTTAAACCAATGCATCCATTTAAGCTGGACCTATTTACAAAGCCGCCTTTCCCAAACACGGTCGTTTCGGTTTCTCCTTTAAAGGAACACTGGTGGGAAGAAGTAACGGAGTTACAGAACTACGCAGCGCGACTGCCCCCTACTGGCGCTGGGGTCTGCTGCCGTGCAGCATCACCGCTTTGTGTCCCTGGAGCCGTTCCAGCTGTGATCCAGCCTAGGGGAGAAGAGAGAAGACATGAAGGCACTGATGTGGCCATTGGTCCAGATTTTGTCCTCTGCTCCAGCCCCTGGGCCAGGGGAGAATTCCCCCCAAAGTAGGCACAGTGTACCCTAGTGACCCCGCATAGAGGGCATGCCAGGGGTGGCGATGCAACCCATAGGCAGCTGGGATGGGCCAGGGTGCTCTGTGTTACACCAAGGGGGTGTTCTGGCTCTAGGGTGACCAGATGTCCCGATTTTATACGGACAGTGACGATTTTTGGGTCTCTCTCTTATCTAGGCTCCTATTACCCCCCAACCCCTGTCCCGATTTTTCACACTTGCTGTCTGGTCACCCTGTGTGGCTTCTGGAGCAGCGCAGAATGCAGCAGGCGCAGTGATGGTGTAAAGTCGTGCCATGCCTCTTGGGCCTGCAACATAACATGGGACCCGGACCTGAGAGGAGAGGTCGGCTCAAAAGGGGAACAGGGATGATTTTGCTTTGCGAACTCTGGCCTTGTCTGCACCAAAGTGGTTTTGCACGGGGGTGACGTGCACCAGTGCAAGTCGCCAGCGCAGGCATCGACATGACTGGTCTGAACTGGGGCAGCTACGTCGCTGGTGCAGTTACACCAGCACAAGCCCTCTCCCGGTGTAGCACTGGGAGCCAGGACGCCTGGGTTCTATTCCTAACTCACTTCCCTTCCCTGTATAAGGGGGTAATAACACTGACCTACCTAAGTGTGAAGGGTTAATAGCCCCCCCTCCCTGGGGGGGGAATGGCAAAAATTTTGGTGCGGAGGAAAGGGAAGAAGGTGACTGGGGAGGGTGGGGGGAAGATTTCAAAGGCTTCCACTTAGTCCTCACTCCCCTGGAGGCGGATGGATCCAGAGCCCCCCATCCCAGCCTAGTCGAACCTGCCGCACCCCACAACCAGCCCGAGGGGCGCCAGCCCTCGACGCGAGCAGGGAAGGATGCTCAACTCACTGTCGGATGCAGTCGGGGATGTGCACTTGCTCAAGAGGAATCTGTTGCGACAGCTCCCACAGGCTGTCCACGAACTGCACTTTCCTGCCAAACTTGGAGCTGGAAGAGGAGGCAGAAGAGGGGGTAGGTTATTCAGGTCACACGAGCGGTCGTTTTGCCATCAGGGAGTCTCGCAGGGCGCCAGGATGACAGCCCTCTAGTCTGGTCTGTTCTACCCAGGTTACTAGCCTGCCCCCATCACCGGGGCACCTTTCACAAACGTGTTAAGCAACATGACTTACATCTCACTAGCCACCCAGCCATGCACACTGCCTGTCCAGTGTCCCATCTCCAGCTGTGGCCAACCTCTGCTGTGGCAGAAAAAAAACCCAACCCCAGAATACATCTGGCCAAAATTCCTTCCTGATCCCTGCAGGCCATCAGCTGAAGCCCTGAAACATGAGATTCCCCATTTGCACATCCCCATGCATGCCGAGGAAAGCTCAGTGGGTTTAGGGGGAGATACTCTGTAGCTCGTCTATGGAGTCTCCCTGGCCTCTCCGCTGCCACTGCTGATACATTAGTGCCAGTTAGGACTCAGCACTTGGACTGTCTAACAGTTGATTGCACATAGGCCAACAAACAGCCAGTCGATCCCAAGCTGGATGGGAACCAGCAATCTGTCGGCAAAAGGCACTCTGGTATGGTGCAAATGGGTGTAAGCTCATGGAGCTATGCCAGTTTACACCAGGCAAGAATCTGGCCCTCTTATCTCATGCTTGGTGCAAATAGTGCAAGCTCACACACCAATAGGTTAAGGTCAGGACTCACACACACACACACACACACACACACACACACACACCCCAATAGGTTAAGGTCAGGACTTTTGAAACGGACTAGTAATTTGAGGTGTCTGTTTCTGGGGGCCCCACTTGACACCCCTGAAAGAGGCCTGATTTTCAGAGGGTTGGGGCAGCGTTGCCAACTCCAGGCATTCCACAGTCACATGTTAGGCCTCAAATAAATCATGAGATTGTTTTTAAATCTCATGATTTTTAAGCCAAACAAACAAGTTCCTTTTTCTTTGTTGTCTGGTCTCTGAGCCTTTACTATGCACTGGGTCACATGCCAAGCTTTCCTCTCCAGCCACGAGGGCAGGAAACGCCCTTTTTTAAACGAAAGCCAAGATTTTTCCCGTCATCACCTAGCTCCGGGAGCTGGGGCTTTAAGACAAACATCAAACACGGAGAGAGTTGGCAGCTCTGCTAGTGCTCGGTGCATTCTAAAAAAAAAACCCCAAAAAACAGGCTCCTTTTGGATGCCTCAAATTGGGTCCCTGAATCACGAAATCGTTGACCTGAATTCTGCAGCTTGCATGTGTCCATCCCCAGCGGCTGTATGGCATGGGGCCTATATCTGACTCCCAGCTGTTAGCCCTGCAATCTCAGCTACACTCCATCCCGCTGCTGTTCTCTGGAGGGACTGGAATATGAACTGGTACCTGTAATGTACGACGCTGCCCTCTGCTGAACAGCCTGGGTCAGGCTGGCTTATGCTTACTGGTGCCCCACTTTGCTCTTCCCCAGACTGTAGCGCTGCTTCCTAGGCAGCGGCCTGAGTTTCTTGGGTAGGGGGCAGAGGGAAGCACCATGACAAGGCTGCAGCTGGCAGGTGAAATCCAGGTCTTTACATGATGCCCATTGTCACGGTATCTGGGCACCTAGGAAATGCTGGCAGAGTGCATCCAAAAAATCCTGGGATAGACTCTTACGCTGTGCCTGTCACCACAGTGTCTGGATGCATAGCGGATACTTGCTCCATGTACCCATGTAGCTAACAGCGCTGCTCTCTGGCAAGCGGAGCCCTGGCCTGGGCCCAGGCTCAGGGAGGAAATATTGCTGAAGGCGTAAAAAGCTCTCTGCATGGAACAGTCTGGGGGGGAGGGGAGGGGAGGGGGCTCTTGCCTCTCCAGCCAGCGAGGTGTTAACACGCTCAGGTCCTGAGCGCAAGGGGACGCACCAGACACTGTGGCTGTTCCTAGCGCCCCCTAAGGGTAGCAGTTGGTCTTGCAGACACTGGCTCACAATATTGGAGTGTGGTGAGGCACAGGGGTGGTCTGTTGCTAATAACGTGCAGCCCACCGGGCTTATGAGCGGTCTGGGCACGATCTCCAGGGGTGCTCGGATACTGCAGGCTGGGTGGCCGCCAACCCCCTCGCACACACACCCCTCTGTTGGTAGCCTCCCCCCCGGCCAAGTAAAGCATCCAGCTCACACTACCTGAGGAAGGGGCGGATAACGGCCATCAGCGCCTTGACATACCAGGTGGGATGGACAATAATCATGGCCTTCAGGTTCTTCCGGAGCCTGAAACGATGCAAAGAACACAGGACATGAGGTACCGATTAGCCGGTGGAACTCACTGCCACAAGATATCCCTGAAGCCAAGAGTTCAGCAGGACTGAAAATAGGGTCAGACGTTGATCTGGCTAACGAGACTCCCTTGTTACAGTCTTCAGTGCTGAGGCCGGCGCTGAAGGAGGCTAAGGGGAGTCAAGGAATCCCGCTAGGGTTCAACCGGAGCTGCATGCCTTTGAAAATCCTAGCTTTAAAAAAAAAAAAAAAACGGGGCTTGCAAGGGCTATAAACAATCTTGCTTCATGGCATTAGCCAACATCTAACTATCGGGAGCCAGTAGGAGGTTTCTGGATGGGCCCCAGGTCCAAGGAAGGGCCTCTGAAGTCCTGGAGTTTTTTCTTTTAAAGGTAGCTAAGGGCTTGTCTACATGGGGAAACTGACCAGTGTAGCTCCCCATATGGACACTCCATTCTGGAATAAATCCTGTGCTTACAAAGCCCAGAGGCTGGGAGCTGGGGTGCCAGAGAGAGCCATAGGGTCTGCCTCTGTCCAGCAGCCTCGTTAGACAACCCCCCACCCCTTTATACTCACCACAGCCCAGCGCAGTCCCTTCTTCCAGCCCCTCCAAGGGAGGCTGCAGTTTCCATCCTCACCCAGGCTGGGATTTTTATTGATGGCCCAGCCTGTATCACAGTGTCAGCTTCACTGGCCTTCGCGCCGTGCGAGCCAGGTAGGAAGCAGGTGTTTCCCTGTTGCCAATGACTATGGGGTGCAGATTCTGGCTGGGATCGGGGGTATGTGTGGGGGAAAGGGGTTGAAATTGCAGCCAGCCTGAGCCACCGCTGAACTGAACAGGGAACCCACCCAGTCCCGAGTCCTCCACATGGGCGACAAAGCAGCCCTGGATGGGGAGTGGAGTCTGTGGGGTAGTGCAGATGGCTCAGTATGAAAACTCCTGGGTTCTAGTCCCACCTCCGGGAGGGAAGGTATGTAGGACTCCTGGGGTCTGTCCACAGCTGTGGTGACTGTGGGGCTGGACTCCGGAGTTCGATTCCCCACCCTAGGAGGAGAGGGTGTTCTCGTGATTACAGCAGGGTGGTTGGGAATTAGGACTCGTGTCTCCCGTTCCCAGCTCTTCCGCAAGCTCCTGATAGAGTCCTGGCTCACCAGTGGTTAGAGTAAGCGGGGGAACGGAAGGGGGACGGGGCTAACATCGAAGAGAGAGCTCCCCCTTTGTGGGCTGGGGAAGCAGCGGTCCCCTGCTGGGTCATACCGCCGGTCGATGGTCTGGTAGCATTGCTTTATCCAGCCGAAGGACGGGATCTGGCTGCGGAGCGTGGCGCCATTCAGACACACCAGGATGTAGCTTTCTGCCACCATCACCTCCAGCGTCCCGATGATGTACCTGCCAGGAGAGCAGAGAGGAGGCCTGGAACCAACCCTCCTCTAGGCGCAAAGCGCCTCCACGCTACAGTCGTGGATTTAGCTTCACATCACACATGCCCCTCCCCCCCAGCAGTGAGGTAAATTGTCTTATCCCCCACCCCTATTTCACAGATGGGAAACTGAGGCACAGAGAAGGCCTGTGACTAGCCCCCACACAATGAGTAGGGAATGGAACCCAGGAGTCCTGACCCCCGTCACTTGCGCTAACCAATAGCCCACATTCCCCACCCAGAGCTGGGCAGAGAACCCAAGAGTCCTGATGCCCAGTCCCCAGCACTAACTACTAGCCCATATTCTATATTAGGCATTCACAGAGCACCCATTGCTGTAGCATTTAACCCTCTTGTGCCAGCAGCTTCCCCGTCCTGACTAGTGCACTGACAGTCCTCATTTATGGTCTGGGACCGGAAGAGACTGTGAGTGAGCTCAGAAGGGGAACAGCCCGTGTTCCTGTTGGCAGCCAGGCAGGGCTGAGGAGGAGACGGTTATGAGCGAGAGGCTTATTTTAAAAGAAGGTTTTGGCACTTTAAGGGTCCATTTACCAGGACAGTAAAGGGTCAGAGAAACAGCTGCGATGGCATCCCAGGACCTCCTGATGTTTATGGGGAGATTCCAAGAATCCCAGGGCAAAGGAGCCCCCACCCACTTACCCACAATGGACTTCAGGCCTGTTCAGGGGTTTATCTGTTCCTGCTGCTCTCGGCACTAGGGCCAATCTCCAGTTACGCTGTCCCTGAACTCAGGGTGAGGGTGGTTTTAAGCCGCCTTTGGGCTCCCGCATATTCTGGTGCCGTGGAGTAAATTAGAGGCGCCTTGGGAATTCTACCGGGAGCAGGGAATAGCCAGAGTGCCCAGCGCTCCGGCCACACGCCCAGTCTGCCCGCTATGCCAGGGCAGGGCACAGGGCCCTTGCATCAGGGGGCTGTTTGCACGCACTTTAAGGCTCCTTTATGCTGCCAGGGCAGCCTGAACGTACTAAGCATCTGACGCTGGCTTCCCTGCCCCTCTGTGCTGCGCTGAGCCCCACAGCAATTGAGACTGGGGTGGGGGGAAGCCCAGCCCAGCCTGGGAACGTACCCGATGCAGAGGCTTAAGGAGGCAACATCCCTTCTGCCCCCTCCAGTACCACAGCTTTACGTCGGCGTCACTTTCCCAGAGCCACCCCCAGCCCACCGCCCACTCCCCCCCTCCCAGGCTGTTACCCATGTGGTTTGTTCACTAGCCAGCAGGGGGCAGCATGCTCACCTGAACAGGTGCTCCATCACGTACTGATAGTCAGGGATGCTGCTGTGGGGCAGGTAGCAGGAGGCAAAGAGGATGATGGCGTTGAGGCCTTCTCCGTAGTACCCTGGAGCGGCAGAGCCGAGCGAGTGGGTCCAGCTGGCACAGGAGCCTAGCCCCGCCCCCTTACACCTTGGCACACCTGTGCTCCCCCACTGGGAAGCTCCGGGATTGGCCCAGACCAGGTCGGATTGACTGCTTTGCTTGGCCCCCGACCCACACGGACGGGGCTGCCACTGTGACCGGCGTCCCGTGGTGCTCTGGGGGCCACAGGCTGGGCGGAACTGGGTTTAATACAGCAGGCTCGGATGCCGGGGTCCCGTAGGGCTGGGGTCGTGGATTTCTTGGGGCAGGGGCTTCCTCCAATTGGCTGCGTTTGCTATACCCCGTAAAGTGCCTGAGGTACTGACCGGCACCATGTAAATCGTAACTCTGGGACCCCACTCCCAGGAGAACCCAGGAGTCCTGACTCCCAGTCCCCTTGCACCAAATTCCCCTCCCAGAGCTGGGAGTAGAACCCAGAAGTCCTGACTCCCAGCACCACCTGCCCGCATCTAACCACTAGACACTACTGCCCTGCAAGAGTCAGGACTAGAACCCAGGCGTCCTGCTGCCTCCCATTCTAAGCACCAGACCCCAGGGCTACGCGCTCCCTCGTTACCCCCATGGGAGATGACCCTCTTGTAGGGCTCGACGACGCTCAGATCCACTTTCTGCTCCCGCTCGTCCATCAGGAAGATCCTCCACTTCCGTCCATCCTTGTCCTCGACGTCCACCACGCGCCCCTCGCCGAGTTTCTCCTCGAGCAGGGTGCTGTCCAGGCGCCGGGCCCTGGGCAGTTCGTCTGCGGAGGGGAAGGGACAAAGGGGGGGCGGGGGGGTGTATTAGGAAAGGCTCCTGGGCTCTTCTCTGCACTTTTACCAATAACCAGAGAGCACCTGGGCCCTGCCTTGTGTTCTGCAATGCATGGCCCCCTCAGGGCACTGGGGTGCCCATGAGATGGGTGTCAATGGGTGTGGGGGAATGAGGCCAGGGAAAGGAGAATCACACCCCCCAAATGACCCAGTCTCCTCCCAAACCTTCCCCCCAAGCCCAGCTCCCCTGGAGCCTTCCAGCCAAACATCCACCCCAAACCGCAACCAACCACCCCCGACCCGTCACCCCCCAACCATCCCCCAATCCCTCACCCCAACCAACCCTCTACCCTCCAACCACCCACCACAACCAACCCGTCACCCCACCAACCATCCCCCAACTCCATCAAAGAAACAACCCTTCACCCCAACCAACCCTCGACCCTCCAACCATCCACCACAACCAACCCCTCACCCCACCAACCATCCCCCAACTCCATCAAAGAAACAACCCTTCACCCCAACCAACGCTCGACCCTCCAACCCCTCAACCCTCCAACCATCCTCCAACTCCATCAACCAACCAACCCTCACCCCTCCAATCCCTCATCACAATCAACCCTCAACCCCCAACCCCTCACCCGTCACCCCCCAACCCTTCACCCCAACCAACCAACCCCTTGCCACAACCAACCCTCGACCCCCCAAGCCCTCACCACAACCAACCACCCCGACCCCTCAGTCTCCCAACCAACCCCTCGACCTCCCCACCTCTCACCCCAACCAACCCCTCGACCCCCACCCATTCCCCAACCCCTCACCACAACCAACCAACCCCTCAACCAACCCCCAACCCCTCAACCACCCACCACAACCAACCTCTCACCCCCCCAACCATCCCCCAACTCCATCAACCAACCAACCTCTCGACCCCCCCCAACCCCTTGCTCACCAATCAAAGTGACATTGTGCACTCCATATGTTTTATGGAAATATGCTTATGACTGTGAATATGATGTAACTGGAATATGCTTTATGCAAAAGGTCTCTAGTAAGGTATCACAAAGGTTATAACCTACTGAATATATTCCTCCTATTTGTATGCATGAATCATTCTTATATCTGAAGGTAGAAATATGAAGTATAACTCTGAGGGCCTATTGTAATTATGCAAAGTGTGGGCCATTAATGGTGGTTTAGAATCTTGATGGCTCACATTAACTAGGACAATTGGTTGTAAATGGCTCTGTTTACTTGCAAACCTTCCTGTGTAGGTGTTGGCCAGCCTGTGGGTAATGAAGAATGAGTCTCACAGGACATGTGACCAGGTCACATGATACTGGAATCCATCTTAAATCTGGTACTTTTCCATTTAGAAGGAGGGGTGGGGACCCAGAGAGACAAAAGATTCCGGCCTTGTGCCAAAGCTCTAAAACGGGGAGGCCAGTCATGAGAAAACCCCTAGTTTCCACCTAAGATGTCTGCTGGAATTAACAAGGACTGTACCAGGGGAAAGGATTGGGCCCAGACTAGGAAGGAGTCTAGTCTGTGAAAGAAGCTTATTGGAACATCTCTGAGGGTGAGATATTACCTGTAATCAGTTTCTTAATGTATTAGGTTTAGACTTGCGTGTTTTTGCTTTATTTTGCTTGGTAACTTACTTTGTTCTGTCTGTTATTACTTGAAACCACTTAAATCCTACTTAATAACATCATTTTTGTTTATTAATAAACCCAGAGTAAGTGATTAATAACTGGGGAAGCAAACAGCTGTGCATATCTCTCTATCAGTGTTATAGAGGGCGGATAATTTATGAATTTACCCTGTATAAGCTTTGTACAGAGTAAAACGGATTTATTTGGAGTTTGGATCCCATTGGGAGCTGGGTGTCTGGGTGCTGGAGGCAGGTAACCTGCTAAGCTGTTTTCACTTAGAGCCTGCAGTTTTGGGGGCATGGTCCAGACCCTGAGTCTGTGTTGCAGCAGGCTAGCGTGTCTGGCTCCACAAGGCAGGGTTCTGGAGTCCCAAGCTGGCAGGGAAAACAGACTCAGAGGTAATTTCAGCACATCAGGTGACAGTCCCAAGGGGGTCCCTGTGACCGAACCTGTCACTCAACTTCCCTGGAACCGTCCCTCCAAATCTCCAGCCAGTCCCAGCCCCCCCCCCCCAAGCCTGCCCCCCATTTCCACTCGCCCTTCCTGACCCACCACTCCAACTCCCCTGCCGATCCTGACCCACTACCTCAGCTTTGTCTAAGCCCCCTGCCATTATGAGCCCCAGCCAGGCCTGCTTCCCACCCACCCCTGCACCTCAGCCAGACCTGCCCCCACTCAACCCTCCCCTGCTCTGACGCTCAGCCCAGCCCAGCCGCGGGCGCATCCTCTCTCCAGCCCCACCTTCCCACTCAAAGTCATGGCCGCCCTCTGGCCCGTCCAGCAGCTCGCTCTCGGATGGTGTCTCCAGCTCGTCCACGTTGATGTCCAGGCTGCCGTCCGGAGTGCGCTCCGGGTAATCACCCGACTGCACCGAGCCCTCGGCCCGGTCTAAAGAGAGGCTGAGATCCGGTGCTGGCAGCCGCTTCTTCATGTGCCGCTTCCCGCACAGCTCCAGGGTGTTGGGGGTGACTGGTGGGGGATGGGGAGGGAAGGAAGGATGAAGACAAACAAAAGCAAGAGAAAAGGGACGTGAAACAGAAAAGAGAGGGGGGAGGGAAGGAAAACGTATCGTCCAGAAAACGCCGCTGCTTATGCAACGATCGCTGGATTGGGGCCGAGTGGACAAAACCTTCCCACCCAGACCAGCTGTGTCCTGGGGGTGTTTGGGGGATTGGGGATGTGGGGGGACGTAGCCCTTGCCTGGCTGCACCCCCAGCACTCTCACACCCAGAACCTGCCCTGCTGGTGTTCTTGGGGGTCTTACCTTCCTACCTTCACCCGCCCCCTGGGCACGGCCTTACCTAGGCTGGGCTCCCCGCCGGAGTCTTCAAGGTCCTCCTCAGAGACCTCCTCCGGGAGAGGCCTGGAAGACAGGGGGATGGGTCAGGGACGGCCAGTGTTTCTCAATGACCGGTCCGTGGACTGGCGCCGGTCCCTGAGATCTCCCTGCCGCAAGCCGGTCCCTGGTATCAAAAAGGTTGAAAAACGCTGGGCTAGAGCATCCCTCCCAGCTCTGAATTGCTATGTTCCTGTGGGGGAGGGGGCTAGGAGTCAGGACTCCTGGGTTCTATCCCCATCTCTGGGAGGGGAGTATGATCTAATGGTTAGAGCAGGGCAGGATCGGTGGGAGAGTCAGGGCTCATGGGTTCCATGCCTGGTTCTGGGAAGGGAGGCAAGGGGCTAGAGCCAGGGCCAGCACTAACTTTTTTGCCGCCCCAGGCAAAAAAGAAGAGCGCCCCCCCTCACCCCGCGAGCGCCACGCCGCCGCCCCCCCCCGCGAGCACCGCGCAGCCGAACCCCCCCCAGCATCACCGAAATCCCTGCCCTCCCAGCACCACGCCGCCCGAAGCCCCACCCCCCAGAGTGCTGTGCCGCCCGAAGCCCCGCCCCTCCAAGCGCTGCGCCGCCCGAAGCCCCCGCCCCCCCTCCGAGCGCCGCGCCAGCCCCCGCTCCCCTCTGAGCGCCAAGCCCCCGCCCCCCTCCGAGCGCTGTGCCGCGCCCGCCCCCGCCCCCCCTCCGAGCGCCACGCCAGCCCCCGCCCCCCCGAGCGCCGTGCAGCCCGAAGCCCCGCCCCCCCGAGCGCCCTGCGCGGAAACAAAAAAAAACCCCTCCAGCGCTGCCCCGACGAACCAATAAATAAATAAATTAAAAAAAAACCCCAAACGCCGCCCCGCCCCTTGGTGCCGCCCCATGCTCGGGCGTGCTCCGATAGTTACACTCCCGCCCCTCGCTAGAGCCAGGGTGGGGACTGTGTGCTCGAATGAATGTTATGTCATCACATTGTGCCTCAGTTTCCACATCTGTTAAATGGGAATGACGACACTGACTTAGCTCCAGAGCTACCTACAGTGGAGTCAGCTGCGGAGCACGTTTCACACACAAGAGGCTCTGCTGCTGAAACCCTGCCCTGCTGTCCCCGCTATTCCAGCCCTGGGCTGCCCATGCCCAGCTCTGCCGACGCCCCTCAGTCCCAACCCACAGCCCCCCCACTTGCTATTCCAGGCCTTGGCTCCTCACACACACAGCTCTGCCGATGGCCCTCGGCCCTCTGCCCTCTCACGTCCAGGACGAGCTGGACCAGACAGTCGCACAATGTAGTGGACCAAACCAAACCAAACCCATGGGCTGAGACCACCCGACTCATTTCACATGAGGATTTGAACCCAGGTCCCCGAGAAGGCTTCATCCTGGCTCTCAAACCCCACCTCATGTCATTTACAACGTGGATCCTTTTCTGTCCTCTCCCCTTCCCTCCCTCCTCCCCCTGGACACTACCCGCTGGGTAAACAGCAGAGCTCAGCCGGCACAGCTGTGCACCGTTCGGCACGTGACCGCTGGCAATAGCTGCCTATCGGAAGGAGGTGGGAATACAGCTCTTGCAGCGGCGCCGCGGCAGGTGTTTTGCCTGATGGATCCAGTCGCAGACACCAATTGCGCTTGCGTGTGCTCAGAGTGTCTGTGCCGGGTGCTTTCCACTGCGGGGGTTAAATAGAGACTTTGCTTCCTCTTTATGGCCAACTGTTTGCTAGTTATTTTGTCCATCGATCCCCATTCTACAGGAGGAGAAACTGAGGCACAGAGCCGGGAAGCTACTCTCCCCAGGTCACTGGCAGAGCTGGGCACAGAACTCTGGAGTCCTGGTTGCCCATCCCGCATTCTATCCACTCGATTAGTGCATTCCTTGCCCTGAGTCAGCCACAGAACCCAGGAGTCCTGAGACCGCCAGGCCAGGGGGCTATCTGCTGGTCCACGCTGCCTCTACCAGTCATGTTGCTTCTTGAAAGAGACTGGCTGGAAGGGGACAGTTACCCCCTCCCATACTCCGAACCCCTTGGCTGTGCCCTGAGCTCCTTGGCACCAGCTGCCTCATCAGACCGACACCCGTTCACCATTTTCTAGTCCTTCCGTTCCCCCATTAGCTCCACCCCCGCCCTCCCCACCCCGCAGGCTGAACCTCTGATCCCCAAGGATGCCCCCGTCCTCTTGACGGTGCAGTTCAAATTCACCACGGTGGCGCCAGCCCTTTGGGGTCCCCCAGGGGCAGTGATATGAGTGAGGCAGGGGCCATCTGTGTCACCTCCCATTGCTCCCGGGACAGGGCGACAGGAGACGCGGTGAGGATCCCAGCCAGCACCCCCGCTCTGCAGCGCAGTCCCCCCTCCCGCTGCATCTCTTACCCCGGGAACTCCTCGTCCTGCCATTCCTCCTTCAGCTCCATGTCCTGGATGGATACGGCTCCCTCCCTCTGCTCGGCCAAGTCCTGCTTCTCCGGATCCCTCTGGTCCCTGCAATGCCAACGGAGGAGAACATGGGCTGGAGGAACCGGGTTCAGGCCAGTCCATGATTGGGCAGGAGAACACATCTGAACAGGGACGACCCCAAGGGCGGCTCCATCCTCAGGGGGAGGTTTGGCCTGAACCGGGATTGCGGCCTTCCTGGGGCCAGGCCCCCCGGGCTGTGAATGGAGCCCGTCCGTGGGTCAGACCCAGCCGGGCTCCCGCGTGGAACGAGTTTGCTGGGGCTCAGCCTGGTGTCCCAGATGTCCCGCCCCAGCTGGCACTAACATCAGGAGCCCCTCGCTGGCAGCTTGGGCACAGAGCCACAGGAGGGAAGGGGCTCCCGTCTCATCTATCGAGGCAGGTCCCCGCAGGGCAGGGCAGGGCAGGGCAGAGCTGTCTGGCCCTGCCACTGGGACGCCTTCCCCAGGCTGTGGGTCTTTCCCCAGAGCCCCGGGATGCCCCCACACAGCCTCCTGCCCAGAGGGACCAGCGCCAAACCCAGCACTGCCAGGGCCCCAGTGAAGATGGCCGCTGCTCCCCCCTTGACCATCCCTCAGCGAGGGCGCCCTCTGCCATCGCTCGGCTCCCCTCCGGGCTTGGTCTAGCATGGCCCAAAACGGCCCCCGGAGGGCACTCTCGGTGCCAGGCCAAGGGAGGGTCGCCCGTTCTTCCAGCTCTTCTGGAGCAGGGAACTCGCTGCAAGAGAGAGATTGTCTCGCGGCCACCTCCCCCCACCCGGGCACCCAGGTCCCATCCCCATCCCCCCCACCTGGGCACCCAGGCCCCATCCCCCGACCTGGGCACCCAGGCCCCACCTCCCCACCCCAACCCTGTCACCTGACCCCCACCTCCTGCCATCTGGGCCTTGCCTCACCACCGGACTCACACCCCACCTCCTCCCTTCTCACACACACACACCCCGCCGTCACCCATGCCTCCTTCTCCCCATCTCTTTCCCTCCATCACCCACCCTCCACCTCCCACCCAACCCCGTTGCCTGACCCCCATCTTCTGTCACTCAGGTCCTGCTTCCCCATCCATCGCCCATGACCCAGCCCCTCCTGCTTCCCCTCCTATTCCCCCTCATCAAACACCCCCCCACACACCCTGTTGCTACCATGGGTGGGCATGAGCGAGGTGGAAACAGGGTGGCAGAGTTGGCACCATCTGACCTGCCGGCTCCCCTTCCTCGCCGGCGAGTGCCCCCGCAGAGCTCAGCTCTGCTCTTCCCCTGCCTACAGCACCCAGGAGATGGACTCAAGCTCTGAGACTGGGACCCAGGTTCGCATTCGGATCCCACCTCCCCGAACCCCAGGGGGTGCTGAGTTCTCCTGGCTGCAAGAGCGCTGAGCCTGCAGCACGGCCACCGTCCCCATCCCCCACCCACGCGGTCCCCCAAAGCCTGATTTACACCCCCGCTGCAGCTGGGGAGGAACCAAGACGCCCGCAAGAGGCAGCCACCCACCCTTTCCATGACAGCCTGACTGGCAGAATCCCTGCCGTGCCCGGCCCACGTCCCCTTGTCCCGAGCCTGCCCCAAGGCAGAAGCCCTGTGTTGAAACATACGCGGTGATCACAGCTCCTCCTCTTTGACCGTCCATCTCCAGCTAGCACCGGGCTCGAATCACCTCGGCTGGTGTGTAGGGGATCCCGTAGCTGCCCCCCGGCCTCTTGTGGCAGTCGGCAATTACCTCTCAACACTGCTCAGTTACAACGCGTCCGGCTAGCCCCACTGCTGCTTGGGCCCGTTGCAGGGAAGGAAAACGAGGAGCATTGGAGCGGCTGCTCAGAGCCGGCAGTTTTCTCTTTCTCCAGCCAGCTGACATCAGCCCTGTACCTGGCGGCACTCGCTGGCACGCCCAAGAAAATCAACCCAGCGCCACCCTAGCAAGCCCTGTAGTCTAGCGCAGGGCTGGTCCTGTTTACACAAGCCCGGAGAGCCAGCGCAGCACCCAGCCACTCTGCGTCTCTAAGGAAACTTAAATCCAGCAAGCAGGGGGGTTTAGAAAACGGGTGTCACTTTGGGCCCGCTTTGGGAACGGGGACTAGGAATCTTTTGTCAGCAGTAGGGGACCCCATTAGAAAACGGGGAGCGAAGGTGGATTGGCACTGGCGGGCAGGGGGAGATGAATCCGCTTCACTTCCTTGCAAAGGGGCTTCTGAATTAACTCACCGAGACCGGGGGTTTTGAAGGCGTTCGGCGGCCCGTTCCCATCGGCTTTCGATACCATTTTGGTGCCTTACTCCCCGAGGCGCCTCTGCAATGCCGGAGAGCGAACGTGCTCTGTCCGGCGGAAGGGCTTTAAAGCACCATTTTTGTAATGACACCCTGCAGCCGGGTCCTCAGTGAGTTTCGAATCCAGGCCCTTCAGAGCTAAAGGCACGGACCTGGAGAAACAGCTCCTGGCCTAGCTGCTCTTACATGGACCGTGTCCAGGGGAACAACGAGGCACTCGATTCTAGCCACCAGCCGGCCTAGCCAGTAGCGGCAGATGGAGTTTGACGCTGCTTGGTTTGCTCTGCAAGATAAACAGGCAGGATCTTTATTGGCCACTGAAAAGACTGGATGCTGCAGCCGGCCCTGCCTCCTGGGCGCTTCATTGCTAGGCACAGAACAGTTGCTGCGTTCGCCAGCCCAGCTCCCCACTTTGGGTGACGCAACAACGCAAACTCTCTCCTCTAAGAGACGCCACCGATGGCCTTCATGCTGGGGCGAGCTTCCAGCAAGCTCGCCTCCTCGTGCCAGCGAAGTGGGTTCAGGCGAAGGGGCATTGCCAACTGGCAGCGTGGTCTAACAGATAGGGCACGGCATTGATTTTCTGTCCACTGCAGTATGTTGTGAGGCAGGAGAGCTGGGTTCTAATCCTGGCTCTGATCTGTTGTGTGACTTGAGAACAGGACCCGAGCGCGATCCTGAAGGCTCAGAAGCCAAACAGCAAAGAAAAAGAACCCAAGATTCATTTTTTAATAGAATCTTAAGATTTTTTTAGGGCCTGACTCCGTATATTTGAACAGCTGGGGCTGGTGATGCTCCAATCACCCTCACAGGTGCAGGCAGAACAAGGAAAGGGAGGGGGATTCTCTTTGAGCATCAGAGGGAGCAGCTTTGTTGAGGTCGGTAGAGCGAATACGTAGCTCAAGCGCTGGTTGAAAATTTTCCGACCAAACAGTTTCCTATCAGAAAATCCTGACCGAACAAAATCAAAATGGTTCCCGAGAACGTATCAGTGGATAATAGAAAATGATCCAAACGTTTCCTTTCAATAAGGTCAAAGCACTTTGTTTTCACTCTATTGTTCTGACGTTTGTGTTATTTTATATCAGACTGATGATATTATATCTTCTGTCTTGCCACGTCTCTCTTCCGGGCCGGCGACTTTTATAGCCTTCTTCCAAAACTCAAGATTGTACTGGGATTGGCCGTGATGCAAATTCATTCTATCATTAACACAAAAGTCAAAATGAAGCGTTTGGCATTTCAACTCTTCCTGCCAATTTGCGATGAAAGAAAATTTTGAAAGGAATTTCCTGCAGAATGGAAATTGAAAGTTTACCAGATTTTTATCCACAATCTGCCTGGGTCACAGGCTGGCCGTGCGTTGTGTGAAGAGCTTCCTCACCTTTGTTTGAAACCTGCTGCCTATTAATTTCGTTGGGCCAGGCCAACTTCTTGGGCTGTGCTTCTTGGGTTCTATCCCAGATGAGATCATCCATCAGAGCTGCTCCCTGGACTATCATAGAATATCAGGGTTGGAAGGGACCTCCGGAGGTCATCTAGTCCAACCCCCTGCTCAAAGCAGGAGCAATCCCCAGACAGATTTTTGCCCCAGATCCCTAAATGGCCCCCTCATGGATTGAACTCACAACCCTGGGTTTAGCAGGCCAATGCTCAAACCACTGAGCTATCCCTCCCCCCAATATTTGACTACCCTTAACATTTAGCTCAACATAGCTACAGCGCTGAAGGGTGTGCCAGTCTAACCCCTGCTGTAGATGCGGATGCTTGGGGAGATCCAACAGCAATGAAATGCCCACTTCTGTCGCTGTAGGAAGCAGCCACACTACAGCGCCCTAGCTGTGGAGCTGTAGCACCCGCAGTGTAGACAAGGCCTTAGCTCTGGCTACACCAGCTAAGGCCCTGCTCCCTCTAGTCTGTCTCCAATAACTTCTGCTGTGTTGCAGTGGGAGAGGGATTCAGTTCCCTCTGGACCCTGGGGGCTGTGCCCTGAAGCATAGAACAGCTGGGCTGGAGGAAGCCAGCGGACCAGGCCTGTGAGGACGTAAGCAGTGTAGGGGCATGGGTCAAAAATGTCTGTGTCAGCAGAAGGGAGAGGAGGCAGCAGTGAAGTGATGCTAAGAGCCAGGGGTACCCTCGTGCAGGGATTGGGGTGTCTTCCCCTGCCCAGCCGGCCTCTCTCATCAGGACAACGTGATTAGCATCTTAATGAGCATGACGACACCTTCCCTGCTGCCAACACATTCCTTTCCGGTGATCTGTGGCTTCCGGGCACACGCCCTGCTGCTCCAACCTGCCCTGGGCCGGGAGCTCCCAGACAAGCTGGCACACGACTCGGTTAGCGGGTCCCCGTGGGGCCAGAACTGTGTGGTGTATACAGATGGGGCGAGGCAGCGGAACAGGCTCTAACACGGCTGGGGCTGTGGGGAGGGGGTGCTGTCCACGGTGTCTCCAAGGCCTGACTTCTTCGCTATTGCGTTGCCATCAAAAGTTGTGCACTCGTCATAGATTCCAAAGCCACAAGGGACCATTGTGACCATCTGGTCTGACCTCCTGGCCGCACAGGCCAGAGACCTCCCCTAAATCATTCCTGGAGCAGATCTTGTAGACCAGGGGTCGGCAACCTTTCAGAAGTGGTGTGCCGAGTCTTCATTTATTCACTCTAATTTAAGGTTTCGTGTGCCAGTAATACATTTTAACGTTTTTAGAAGGTCTCTTTCTATAAGTCTATAATATATAACTAAACTATTGTTGTATGTAAAGTAAATAAGTTTTTTAAAAATGTTTAAGAAGCTTCATTTAAAATTAAATTAAAATGCAGAGCCCCCTGGACTGCTGGCCAGGACCCGGGCAGTGTGAGTGCCACTGAAAATCAGCTCGCGTGCCGCCTTCGGCACACGTGCCATAGGTTGCCTACCCCTGTTGTAGACCAACATCCAAACTTGATTTAAAAACTTGTCAGTGGAGAATCCACCATGATCCTTAGCAAGTTGTTCCAATGGTTAATTGCTCTCACTGTTAAAAATTCACCCCTTATTTCCAGGCTGAATTTGTCTAGTGTTAACTTCCAGCCGTTGGATCCTGTTACCCCTTTCTCTGCTAGACTGAAGAGACCCCTAGTAAATATGTGTTCCCCATGTAGGTACTTATACCTATAAGTTACCCCTTAACCTTCTCTTTGTCGAGCTAAATAGATTGAGCTCCTGGCATCTCTCACGGTAAGGCAGGTTTTCTAACCCTTAATCAGTCTCGTGGCTCTTCACTGACCCCTCTCCAATGTATCAACATCCTTGAATTGTGGGCACCAGAACTGGATCCCACCAGTGCCAAATACAAAGGTAAAAATCACCTCTCTGGCTCCTCCTCGAGATTCCCCTCTTTCTGCATCCCAAGATCGCATAAGCCCTCTTGGCCACGGCGTCGCACTGGGAGCTCATGTTCAACTGATTACCCACCACAACCCTCAAATCTCCTGCAGACTTGCTGCTTCCCAGGGCAGAGTCCCCATCCTGTAAGCTGTGTCTGAGCAACTAAGCAGGATCAGACCTGGTCAATATTTGAAGCCCCAATACTAGTGCCTACCTACCTTTTTTCTCAGTAGGTCTCAAAGCAAGTCACTATCATTATCCATTTTACAGGAGGGAGAACTGAGGCATGGTGAGGCAAAGTGACTTGCCCAAGGTCATCCAGCAGGCCAGTGGCAGAGCTGAGAATAGACTGCTGGTCTCCTGAGTGCCTGTCCGCTGCTCTTTCCACTAGGCCACACTGCCTCCCTGCTCAGTTCTTCGATGGGAGACCTCTAAAAAAAAGCCAGGCTGCTACGGGAAGCGGTGTCGCAATGCAGCAGAGCGCACTCTCCCCTTGTGAGCGGCTGGCGCTAGGTCCTGATGGAGGCGCTATCTTTCACATGGGATATAAAATCCCCCGGCAGGTGCAATTTCCGGCATTCTGGCTTAAAAATCCAACTCCCACAAAATCACCTCCCGCTTGGCAAAGCTGCTCCTGCGGTTCCAACCGGGTGAGCTATGAAATCCTCGGTAAAGCGCTTTACTGCTGAGTGACACGTTGACTCTGAAGCCTAATGGTGGCCGTGAACATTTGCTATTTCATTGCTGCTCATTTTAAAGGGGAAAAGGGGGATTTCGGGTGGGGCACGGGATTGTGGGCAGAGCATAAAGTCCCACCACTTCCTCCTCGCCCTGCCTTCAGAGGAAAGAGGCACAGAGACAATGAAACATCCACCCTCTCTGTTCAACCGCAAGGGTTTGGGTGTTTTTCTGCTTCACCCTCCTTCAAAGAAAACAAACAAGTCATAAAGTTGCCTCACAAGCTGGAGCGAGTCCCTGTATAATTCTCCAGTGATTATGCCCCACCTGCCTTCCGAACCTTAACACGGGCTCTCAACTGTTTTCACCACACCAGGAGCAGTAACGGAGCCTTTTCCAACCCCAGAACGCCCTGCTAATCCAAATCCATCGATTCTACACTCAGAAGGGACGCCATGATCATCCTGCACAGCACAGGCCAGAGACCTTTCCCCAAATAATGAGACAGACCATCCCCACCCTGAAGAGTGTCCAGTCTAAACTGACAAGCCAGCCAGAGGGAGGGCAAAAGGAAATATTTAATGGGATTAAAAATCTTTAAGCGGCAATGATCATTTAGAGCTTGTGACCTTTGAGTGGGATGCATAAGCAGCATTCAGCAAAATCCACGTGTTATAAAGCATATTGCGGCAGGGACTGTCTTGCTGTTCTGTTTGTACAGCGCCTAGCACACTGGGCTCCCGGTCAAGATCAGTGTGACCGCAAACACAAATAATAATAGAATTTTACAGCTGTGTAAATCCTTGTCATTCCATTGGTGCCACGCCCTGTGACATCAGCTCAAGAGCTGACCCCAAGCTGCTGGAAACTGACAGTGTTTCAAAACACCATTTCTCTCCTTAGCAATCCTGAATCATCTTTCATGCTGCTTTTCCCCTCATCACAGAGCTCCATCCCCGTCTTACCCACCGGCCTGCCTACCCTCTCCCCGTCAAATCCTTCCTCAAGGCCCACTTCTTCTGCGAGGTCTAAAATAATTAGCCAGCTAATAAAAGTCAGGGTATTATTGCTGTTATTTATATAGTGGTAATGTCATGGTAATGTCATGGGCCAGAATGGCATGGTGCTAGGCGCTGTACAAACAAAGAGACAGTCATCGCTCTGAGATCCCAGTCTAAATAAGGGTAGAAATGAAACCAGGGTTATATGGACCTCAATTTTCAACAGTAACTAGTGATTTTGGGCTGCCAATAAAATTAGGATTCTCATGCTATTTGGAGAGGTGGGGGGGGGTCACTCCTAAAAGTCTGATTCTGAAAACACTAGGGGAGTAGTAGCTTACTGCAGCACACATTCCATTGCACTATGGCCTGGAATTTCAGCTCAACTCCCACGCAGGCACATACATAAGTTAGTGCTGAGATCTTCAGAAAGTCTGGTCCCAACTGTGGGTGCTACGCACTGACAAACCTGGCCCTCCGCATGGCAGCCTCTCTATAGGATCAGGCTCCACTCTCAGCAACCATTCACTTTCTGAGCTGGGTTTATCGGCCTGTCTGAAAGGCCAGGCACGGTATGATACAGTCAATCAAATCACAAGCCAATCAAATCACAAGGACAACACATGCCTGATTCTCCAGCTGCCTCCCCCAACCACCCCAAACCGTGTTTGCTGGTTCCACAGTCTCTAGACCCCACACCGATAGGCACTCCCAGGTACACGCAGAAGAGACTCCTGAAGCTGCCTATCTCATTGGCCCAGCCAATGCTGTGGACTGGGAACCTGAATCTCCTAAGCTAGATTCAAACAGCGTGGGACACTCTGGATCTCATATACACTGGAGTGGAGTCGCTCTGGATCAGCGGCTCTCAACCTTTCCAGACGACTGTACCCTTTCAGGAGTCTGATTTGTCTTGCGTCCCCCTAAGTTTCACCTCACTTAAAAACTACTTGCTTGCAACAGCGGACATAGAAATATAAGTGTCCCAGCTCACTGTTACGGCAAAATTGCTGACTGACTTTCTCATTTTTACCATGTACTTATGAAATAAATCAGTTGGAATATAAATATTGCATTTACATTTCAGCGTATAGTTTACAGAGCAGTATAAACAAGCCATTGTCTCTATGACATTTTAGTTTGTACTGATTTCGCTAGTGCTTTTTATGCAGCCTGTTGCAAGACTAGGCAAATCTTGAGATGAGTTGATGTACCCCCTGGAAGACCTGTGCGTACCCTCAGCAGGGGTACGCGAGAACCACTGGTCTGGATTAACCGAGATCAGAATCCGGCCTGACGGGGGTCACAGACACCCAGCTGGGCTACTCACCTTTGAGGCTGCAGTTTCTCATCATAGTCTGCGTAGGAACCCATCGTTCCAGCCCTCAGAAAACACTGAAGTTAGCTGGGTTCCCCTCCCACCCCTTCTTTGGGAGCCAAATCCCCAATGGATTTTCCCTCTTGTGGCTCTCAGGACATCAGTTACGGCCCCTGTGCTGCTCATCCCAAACTGGTTTGTCTGCATTAACACCTCCTGACTCCACCTGATGAGAATTCACTGGGTCCTAGTGCCCATTGTTCCGCCCCTGCAGACAAAGCTCTGGAGTGGCAGAAGGGGTAGTATGTGTGTGGGGGGGGGGCGATTGCTCCCTGTTACCCCCAGTTTGCCTGCTGCTGTGTCTGGGCCAAGGAAGGTGGGCCCAGGCACAGGGCTCCATCATAATGAAACGTCCTCCAAGGACAGCATCAGCTTCAGGCAAAATCCCTGGATCCCAACTGGCCCCCCAAGCTCCGGGAAAAACTGGGGGCTGCAGCTCTAGGTAACCCTGCAGCAAGATTACCCGGTCCTGGCATTAGACCATAGGCCCAGTGGGAGCAGACAAGCAGCCATGTCCTAAGGACCTGAGAAAAAGGGCCCCCCACTGGCCGCAGGGGCTAGTTATCTGAGATAGACAGACTCCTGCGTCCTATTCCTGGCTCTGCTGCTGACTCACTCGATGACCTTAGGCATGTCTCTGTGCCTCAGTTTCCCCCCTCCAGTACAGAACAATGCCCCCCTCTGTTCCCGGCAAGATTCCCAGGGGCCTCATTTCCCATATCGGCTCATTCTGAGCACACTGCAGCAGCAGCTCTTTCAGCCCTCTGTCGGGGAGGGGAAGCAGGAAAAGGGGTGCCAGGCATTAGTCACAATTCACACACCCTCCTCCAGCCAATTGAGGAGGAGCACTGAGGGATTCAAAGTCAAAGGCATCCTCTGTATCTCAGTTGTGACTAGATGTGCTAGGGGCTGTACAAAGAGAGAGCAAAAAGATGGTCCCCGCCATGAAGGAGCTTGCAGATTCTGGCTCCCAGCCTCTCTCGTGGGCAGGAACCTCAGGATGGGGGAATATGAGGCCCCAGCAGGAATTTGAGCCCCGAGCAGCTCGAATTAAACTCCCAACCTGCTCTCTCGTGTGCGAGCTTGCAGTGCGTGTGGGTGGGCCAGCATCCAGGGGAAACGACCAGGGCCGTTAACGACACCGACAAACTCTCCCCCGGCCTCCAGGCCCGGCTCAGCTTTTCCATTGACTCAGAGGAGCCTGGGTTACTGTGAAACGCCATCGGCAGCTGCCAGGAAGCACACTTGGCGTGTGGGTTACCGCAGCGACACGGCCCCCCCGACTTCCCCTGCTCCAAGAACCAGCCACTGCCTCATCGGCTTCCTGTTTTCTCTGCCACACACTTCACTCAGAAACACAGTCAGGCCTTTGCCCTGGCTTTTGGGATTTCCCAGCATCCCTGCCCTGTACGTAAGGGGACACACGCTGTACTGAAAAGGAAAAGCAACGGAGCGCAGAACTAACTCACCCTTGGGCTCGTCACGGAATCCCCTTGTCCATCCGTGCCGCTCACCAGGCTGTCGGACGGGAGGGCTTTGAGCAACTCAGCTGGAAAAAGCTCTAATTCAGCGGTAGAACTGCCTTGGGGCTGAGTCAGGGGACTAGGACCTCTGCTTGCAGTTCCCAGCTCTGCCACTAACTCCCTGTGTGACCTTTGACACGTCGCACCATCGCTCTGGACCTCAGTTTTCCCATCTGTAAAATGACAACTAACTATAAGCCGGTCTTTGCCTACTTAGACTGGGACAGAGAGTCTCTCAGGTTGTGTCTGTGCAACACCCAGCACAATGAGGCCCTGATCTCGGTTTGGAACTTAAATTGCTCTGGTAATATAGATAAACCTAACAAATGCTGTTTCCACTATGCCGCAGAGTTTCACAGTTCAGGGGTGAATTTTCCCCGGATTCATCACAAATAGTCCACAGCACGTATCTCCCAGCAGCCTTTTAAAAGAAACAAAACTCATACAGGGTAATAGGGTGAAATTCTCCAGCCTCTGTTATACAGGTCAGACTAGAAGAGCTAATAGGCCCCTCTGGCCTTACAATCTAACACACATGGGCACATGCCTTCTTCAGTTTACATACAAGGGAGACTTTTCCAACCCAGGCGTGATCTGATCATTGGCCCCAGGCATCCGTCAGCTGTGTCTGCATCTGCCCCTCTGCCAATGAGAGCAGGCGCTGATGATGTCATGTTTCCAGGGTGGAACGAACTGATGCTCACCGAGGAATTCTGGGAAGACAGGTCTTTCCGCTTAGATGAGCCTCCAACCCTCGTGCTCATGTAGTTGAATTGATTCATCAAAGCAAGGATTTTTTTTTTTTTAAAGAAGAACCGTAAGGCTTTCAAAGCTGCTTTTGCAGGGCCCAGTGATATGGACGGAGAGTGTTTTTCAGCCTTTAAGGATAGAGTCAGTGTAGCGGGGTGGTTACCCGCGCCTGCCCTGAGGGGTTTAAAACAGCCCTGGAGGAGGGCTGTGGAAGGGCAAGATGCCTGGGCTGATTGGGAGGAAGCAGGCTCAGCTGGAGCCATGCCCCAATCAGGGCCCCGCTGGCCCTATAAAGGCTTGAGCCGGGCACTCAAGCAGGCAGTCACTCTCTGCATTCAGAGAGAGAAGGGCCTGGCTGCAGGGAGTTTAAGACAGGGTACCTGAGTAGAGCAGGGCTGGGGAAAGGCAGAGGAGCTGGGGATCTCCAGCCTGGAAAGCCCAGGCTGTGGCCTAGCATTGGGCCAAGGGATACTGGGGGTTGCAGAGGGCAGCCCAGAGGTAGGCCAAGGGAGCAGGTTCAAACCCAGCCTTGCCTGTGATGAGTGGCTGATACTGCAGTCTGCCCCAGGGAGCGGGGCTAGACGGTGACTGGTAGTAGCCTTACACTGAGGCGAGGTGGGGTTAGCGGGTGGGGGTTCCCCTGGGAGGGGAGACCCAGAGTGTGTGGGTACTGCTAGGGGGCAGCACCCAGAGAAAGGGGCACTGGGGTCCTGGGAGGGACATGGGGCCAGTGGCAAGGTGGATCACCGGCCTGCAGAGGGCGCTCCGGAGCTGGGATGGTCTAATTCCTGGAAGAGACCAGCAGGAGGCGCCGCAGGGGTGAGTCTGACCCCTTGCAGTCAGACTGTTGTATCTTTAACAAAGAACGTTTTTCTCCCCCCGCCGCTGGTCAGGCCTTTGAGTTAAATTGGCGTTAACAACACCTAAAAGTTTGACTGAGCCTGGATAAAAGCCGCTCCCCATCTCAATCCGGTTTCATTATTTCTCATGGCACAATCTTGCCAATTCTCCACTAGTTCAGGAACAGGCCTGTAAAGATTTTTCTGTTTTTCTCTCTTCTCCTCCTCCCCCGCTAAGCAATCAAAGTGTGTGGCTGGTAAAGGTATGGGAGAGAGAACCCTGCTTAGCACCTCAGCTATTGTGTTTTGCCGTTCAAGCTGCAAAATCAAACATTTATTTTCCTCATTACAAGGGCACTCTGCCAGGAACTATTAGGTAAATACAGGAGCTTTGGTTACACATTTGACTGAAAAAAGCAAGTCGGGGCAAAGTCTGACTCATAAATGTTTAAACAGTGACCTGACAGCAACAAAAAAGGGGGAAAAAATTTTTTTTTTTTTTAGTCTTAAGCACTTGAGCATATGCTTAACTTTAAGCATCCTTTAAAAAAACAAAACACCCATTTAACTCAAATGCTCGGCAAACAATTGGGAAGAATGCTCTCTTTGTTAAAGATCCTCCCAGCTCCCGGAAGGCTGCTCCCCACTTAGTTCTCCGAGCCCCTCCAGCAGAAAAGCGACTTGACATGCCTGATATTTCTAAAAGTATAAAACCAAGCAGGGACAATTTTAAGTGCCTTTCAGGCCTTTAAACAAAACAAGGCAGCAAAAATATGGGTGTGACCCCAGTTTACTTTTCCATTTACAAGGGACCTTTAACCCAGCTCTGGCAGGAGGAAAGGAGTGTTTAGACTGAGATTTCCAAAGCAGCCTTTGAAATGTCAAAGGGATGGGGGTGCTTAACTGGCGTAGGCCCCTGGGAAAACCTCAGCCTTTGCGCTTTTATGGTGGTCATCACAGGCCCCATTCACCTTTGCCCTGCACCTTTGTGCTTGGAGTGTCTTGAAACAGTTTAAAAGTGTAAACTGTCACTTTAAATTTCAGGGGGTTTTCCTGGTTCTGCTTGTAAGAGCTCTGTAGGGAAGCATAAGACTGGATCTAGCAGCAATGGTCACTCTCTACAAAGAGCCAGCCTAGAGCAAGGTGGAGTGAGCTGTACCTCTGTTTTAGATTGGGTGACCAGATGTCCCGATTTTATAGGCACAGTCCCGATATTTGGGGCTTTTTCTTATATAGGTTCCTATTACCCCTCCCTCCCCTGATTTTTCACACTTGCTATCTGGTCAGCCTAGTTTTATGGAGTTTTCTGTTTTGCCTCTCTCTGTTTTGTGGTTCTTATGTATTAACGCTCTGAATGCTAAGAAATACGGTTGTGTTATGACCTTCCAGCAAGAGAATTGATGTTTTTATCTAACGTCTGTGTTCAAGCCATGATTGTAACAGGGCCGTCTTTTACATCAGTGCAAAGTGAGCGCAACAATGCTACCATGGTGATGCAGCGGTGTTTCACGCCCCACTCGGCACTGGTGCAAGGAGGTGGGGAATCAAGCCTCATGGAGAAACTTGCTCCGCTTTGAAGGGGGGGGGGGGGCTGCTCTGTGCACCACTCTGTCCCACTCTTCAGTCTTATCAGGGAGGCAGCCCTGGCCTTCAGACACACCCCTCACATTTATGAAATGGGTGTGAGGATACCAGTGTGGCTCTTTAGCCCCCTCTAGTGGCTACAAAACACAGAGCCTGATAAGTCTGCACCTGCCTAAAAGCTAATAATGAGTCACATGGCCTTTTTGCTCAAGCTGGAGCGGCTGGTGCTTTAGAGACTGGGTTCAGTCTCTGCCAATGATCCATCCGTGGAGGCGGTCAATCCACTTGCATCTAAGCCAGAGCAGAACTTGTCACAAAAAGGGTTGTTCGGTCTTTTGTGTTGGATTATGATCTCCACAACAAATATTATGAATAAGGTTACGTTTTAGTCACGGGTATTTTTAGTAAAAGTCATGGACAGGTCATGGGCAGTAAACAAAATTTCATGGCCCGTGATCTGTCCATGACTTGTACTATACCCCTGACTAAAACTTGGCCGGGAATGCTCTGAGGGGGCGGTCCGGGGACACCGCTGGTGCGGGGGGAGGGGGGGAGAGCAGGCAGCTCCCACTGGCCGGGAACCACAGCCAATGGGAGCTGCGGGGGCAGTGCCTCCAGGCAGGGGCAGCGTGCAGAGCCCCCGGCCCCTCTGCCTAGGAGCTAGAGGGACATGCCGGCCACTTTCAGGGAGCCCCCCACCCCCCAGAGGGAAGCCCCGCCCCACACCCCAACCCCCAGCCCTGAGCCCCTTCCCACACCCAAACTGCCCCAGCAGTGGCAGGTGAGACTGGCCCAGGGGCTGCCTGATCTACTTGGGCAACCCCAAAACCAGCCACACTGGCCGCTGCAGAAGTCATGGAATCCTTAACCAGGAATAGGGGGTGGATGGGTGGGTTCTAAAATATACACCACCATGAGCAGGGGGAGAGTGTGTGTGTTGAAGTACACACACACACACAACAACAACAACAACAACACAGCTCAGGGAAGCGCACACATTTAATCCTTAAAATGCAAGATCATCAGAATTACAAAAACAAAAAACTTTGGTTATGTAATATGTCTCTTTTCATACAACAATTCTGAAATTAATTTTGAAACATAGCATATTTTAGTAGACCTGTGGCCTAGGTAAAAACACAACACCCCAAAAGTGTTGGAAGGTAAATTACCATATCAAATCATTTAAAAAAAAAAAAAAAAAAAAAACTAAAAAAAAAATTCCACCACAACGCACTGCCAGCCGGAAACAGCGGCTCATCCTGCTGCAGATGGGCTTGCCGAGAATGGAACAGAAAGGCTTATGGACCCACTGTGACGACTCTGAGGTTCTCATTGGTTCTCTTGCTAAATTGTGATTTATACAATGCTACGTTGGATGAAAAATCAAACCGCATTCTCTTCCCTGTGCCTCAGTCCCCGCCATTTAAATAAAGCTGCTTCTCATCTTATTTTGCCTTGATTACATACTGTATATTACTTCAGGTGATACCCAGCTTAACAGGAGCCTGCATCCAGAGTGAAATTGACACCCCCCTCCAAAGACATATCCAACCCCGATTCAGGAAAGCACTTAAGCATGTTTAAGCACCCTTCCCGAAGAGGGATGCTTTCCTAAATGAGGGCGTGGAGGCCAATTTTGCTGGCTTATGTGATGCATTAACCTTGGTGCTGCTCCCCTATCCCTGCGCAAGGGTGAATTAAACCCCAGCTCTGATAGAACTGAGAGTTTCCCTACCCTACTCCCCCACAAGTTCAATATTTCCCTTCCCTAACCCCTCACCCCAAAGCAGATTTTCTTTACCCCAGATTGCAAACGCATCCTGGTTCCTTTGATTACCATGTGGGGCAGCCTGAGCTGGGAGCTCCTGAATCATACCCCAGTAGACACCGACTCGCTGATGGCAGGACACGTCCCCCGCTGTGCCTCACTTTCCCCCAGCTGCACAGCAGGTATGATGACCACACTCACCCAGAGGGGTGCTGCAAAGACACATTCAAAAAGGGCTATGTAATATCACCCCAACTCTAGCATCCAATTGTACCTGGCAGATACTAAAGCTTCTGTTAAACCTTCCAGGGCCTTTCTGCTTCCCTGCTCTTTAGGGCACAGATTGTCTGTTCTGTGTTTTTACGGCGCCTAGCCCCATGGGGTCTTGGTCTGTGACTGGGGCTCCTGCATGCCACTACAATACACATAAAGAGGGAGATCACACCTGGTTCTGTCTTATTTCTGGTGCAAGGTGCAGGACCGACAGCCTCTGAGCCTGAACCTCTCGAGGTATCCTCCATAAATAAGGATGCACGTTGCTTTCGTAGAGACAGCATTACAGCTACAAAATGGAGAGGGATTCAGCCGCAGCATTCGTTTCCTGGTATCGACCTCATCCGTCAGTGCAGCTCCCAGACCCACCTGTTCGAGCCTTTGCTTGTGGGACATATGGACAGACAGTAGTGTAGGAGGCTCAGGGCTCTGCCACCAGGGGGTCTCTCTAGGGTGCACGTACCATAGAGACGTACAGTGGTTAGATGATTCACAAGACGAAAGGGAGGAGGGGAATTCATGACACACTGAGGAACGTGTCTGGGGTTTTAGCACCCAAGGCTTATTGACAGCCACCACAGACAATTGGGTTACATGGGTGTCGGACTATGGGGTCAGGGAGTTTTTCACCTTCATGCAAGTGCCCCAGCAGAGTGGACCTGGCTTGGGGGCACACCCGGTTACTTGCTAACCTGCAGTGTCAGTACCTGAGGCCTTTTTAGAAGTCACAGGCCATTGCGGTTATCATGTGAGAGCCCAGAATGACAATTCTGGAGAACGCCAGTTCCTGGGTGCCAGGTGCACCAGAACCACCGCCCCAGCCTGAAAGTCCGTCCTTAACAACAAAAGCACCAGCAGGGCGGCGGACAAGGGCCATTTCCAAGGAACGGAGCCTGGAAGAGATTTCGAGGCCAGATTTTCTGGTTTTTGCAGGCCCAATTGTACCAACCTGCAATTTAGGTCAATTTGCTGCTTGAACTCCTGATTTGCAGACAGAGTCCGGGCCATTGGGCCAAGTTTGCAAGAGGGCTCAGTTCCTATGTAAGTACCTAAATAAAATGGGACCACGTGTTCCTTTGGAGCCAGATTAACTAAAGAGCTGTCTCCTACCCTCTGAGGATAATGGGGAATCTCACCCCATCCCTCTGAGAACAATGGAAGCTGCTGGGTGGCAAGCATAAATCATTTAAGGCCTTGGCTACACGGAACATTTGCACTGGCATAAATCTAAGGTGTAAATTTAAATCAATATACGGATATAACCCCTGTGTGGAAACTGATTTACGTTACGCGTGGCTGATTTTGTTTAACTTACCTCAATTGGGAACAGGCTTAAATTAAACTGAAATAAGCCCCTCCTCCCCTCAGAGCCCACTCAGGGGTTTGCACTGATTTAACGATATTAGTTAAAAAAATGATTTAACTTGAACTGGTACAATTTTTCCATGTAGACAAGGCCTCAAGCAATCCGAACTGCCAACCCACGGAATCGTAGACACGAAACCGCGCCTGAAATCAAGAGAGCCCACAGCAAAAGAGGCCGAGTTGAGGGCAAGCTGATAGTGTGGCCCCTTCGATAGTTTAATGAATAGTCGCCACCTGAAAAGTCTCTCCTTCGTCACCTTCAACTATCAGCAAAAGATTAACGGCTACTTTCCAAGGGGAACTATGCAAGGTGCGTATCCCCAGGAAGGGGAGCAGTAGCGTTAACACAACTGGCTTTACCAATCAGAGTGGCATTAAACAGAGACAGTAAAAATGATCCAAGCTGTGGGTCAAAGACACACCCTGCCAGTCCCCTCGGGAGAAGGAACAGACGCATTGGGGCATTCTGTATGGTCCATTTCCCCACCTGCAGGTCGGACCGTGCCAAGGCACGGGTAGCTCACTCTCCAGCAGGACGGTAAAGACAGCAGCTTTAGGAACCAATCACTAGAAACCCCTTCACACAACCCCTGGATGGCGGGCTGGAATTCCCTGCCCCGGGGGTCAGTTTCCAAAGCTACCCAGCCAGGGTTTCAAAGGGATTGGACAATTACGACCACAGATAACGGGGAAGTTGGGAAGGAAGAGTTTTCCTTTACGCACGGTGCTGCACAGTCAGGCAGGTACATGACAGACCCAATGGCTCACAGGAGGCAAGACGGCTGACTGGGTCACATGGGCCGGGGGAGACGGGAGAGAAGTTCCTCTCCTTTATTGCTGTTCCCCGAGGGGGATTCTGGATGGAAACAAAGCTGCCAAATCCACAGAGGGTTCAACGAGAGTGGGGCCGAGATCTCCCCTCCCACGATGTCAGTCCAACGACGGGGACGTACGGGGTAAGCCTGTGCACACAAATGGGACACAACGTGGACTGGGACTCAGGGGCTGCTGGACCTGGGCGTTCTTGCACATAACACAGCACAACTGCTCATGACCTAGGGCCCGGCGACGCAAGAGGCGGCTGCGGCTGCGCCAGGGCAGGGTTTAAAGAAATCACTGTAAGAGAAAGAGGTGGTCCTTGTGGGCACAGTCCGGCCAGGATCAAGCCCCCGGGTGCCTTTGAAGTGCAGCTGCACTTTGCACTGGGGGGTGCCACTCTGCTGGCATTTTGGTTTGGCTTTCCTATGAAATCCCCCGCTGGAGAAGGAGCTCCACGGAGGTCGGTTCTAGAGCATCGCTGACAAAAACGCCTGCGTCTGGCTTTTATTGCAGAGGCCGGGGTCCACGTCCCCGCGAGACAGCTGGACGTGTTTCGTCCACACACAGAAAGAGGCCGCTCGTTTAATCCCAGAGCGGATTGCAATTGCGTCCCTGAAACCCGAGCGGGCACCAGCCCCGGTGTCACTTCTTCTCGGGGCTGCTGCTGGCGGAGGGGCGCACCACCGTGATGTGGCTGAACTTCTCGAAGATCGCCTCCGCCGACAGCTTGGGCAGCCCCCTGTCCAGAGGGCACTCATCCACCAGGCTGTTCATGGGGGTGGGAGGCAACGGGGCATCGTCCTCCAGCAGGGCATCCCCAAGCCTCGGGCACCTGGCAGGATCTCTCCTGCCCCTTGGCTCGTACTCCGGGGCACCCGCTTCGCCAGCCACATCCGAGTCCTCCGGGTTCTCGTCGCTTTCGCCGCAACCGGCAGAGGAGTCTTTCGGCTCGGGTCTCGTCGTGCCACAGGAATCCTTGTCCGCGGGATGCATGGGGCCAGCCGTTATGCCCCGCTCCCTTAGGAAGTCTTTAAGGATCGGGAGGACTTTCTTACGCGATGCAACTGTGTTGCCTTGGTGGTAGGCACAGATGTTGGGGTAGAGGTTCCCCAGAGGGGAGAGGTCCAGGGGCGGGTTGTTAGCGCGCTCCAGAACACCACACACCTAGTGGGGACAGAAACACGAGGGGGTGAGGAGCTGGCTGGGAGCCAAGGACCCTCCCGAAGGCTGAACCTGCTGTCACAACGCAGCAGGGATGGGATCATGACACACATAGTGACAGCAAAGCCGGAGCTGAGGCTCACCCTCCATCTGTTCTGGGCTGGGCCCCCCAATTCCCCTCCTACATTTCTGCCGTTTGGGGCACTAGCCATGTTATTTGGATACACTCAGGGCCCAATCCCCCACTGGTGTAAACTGGCGCAGCTCCACGGATTTACACCATTTGAGGGGATGGAATTATACAGAGCTTGCCTCCCACTGACTGGATCCTGGGCGGGAGCCCCATTCTGCTGCACCCCGCGATTGCTGCTGCAGCACGTCTGAAATGCCGGGGTGTGAGCAGAGCCCAGAGCTGGGGTCTCTGTGCTCAGTGATCCCAGATGGGCCCTTCTGATCCCAGGGTCGCTGTGCCCCCAAGCTTGGATACAGCTCCCAGGTTGCTCAGTCTGCCGGACAGCAGGCCAGATCCTCAGATGGTGTCAGTCGGCACATCCCAAGAGAGCGACGCTAATTTACACCAGGCGGGGATCTGGCCCAGGGACTCCAATGGCACTAAGGTGGATTTACCCCAGCTGGGGATCTGGCCCATAGGCTCCAATGGAGCTACAGTGGATTTACCCCAGCCGGGGATCTGCCCCCCAGACTCCAATGGCGCTATGGCGGATTTACACCAGCTGGGGATCTGGCCCATAGACTCCAATGGCGCTTCGGCAGATTTACCCCAGCTGGGAATCTGGCCCATAGGCTCCAATGGCGCTACGGTGGATTTACCCCAGCTGGGGATCTGGCCCACAGACTCCAATGGCGCTACGCTTATTAGAGTAGCTGAGTGTCAGACTCCAAGTCTCCTGTGCCTGGGCAGCCAGACAAACGAGAGAAAACGCACGTGCCCCCCCCCCAGCCCAGGGAAGGGTTTCACGCTCGCCCAGACAACACGGTCGCTGTGGGGTTAAGCGTGAGGCACCATAAGGTGCTCAGAGCTTAGCGTTAAGGAAGAAGTAAAATCTGTGGACACCGGCTGGGAGGGTAGATGTGGGGGCGGGCGGGGGGGAGGGGGACGGACAGGCTGGGTTCTAATGATCGACATTCAGCTTGTATCTGCCAAGTCCAGCCTCTGGAGCAAAGCACCAGGTTCGGGAGACGCCAAGGGTGCACGTCGGGGCAGGATCACATGGAGGACATTTCCCTTTGGAGCAGAGCCGGTTGCAGGGATGGAAAAAGGAGCCTCTTACCTCCCATCTCGAAGGCCGCCGTCTCCCGCTCGGTCCCCTTGGCTGCCGTGATCTCTGACCCACCCGGGCGATTAGCCCGTGATCCCTCCCACGGCTTTAAACCTTTGACCACAGTTAATGAGTGACGAGCGATGGCGCGGGATCGGGCGGGGGGGGGGGAAGAGAGCCGTTGCTGCATGGCTGGGGATGAGGGGAGTAAACACGGCCTCCCCCCTCACTCTCGTGGTATGTTCTCGCCAGGCTCTGGGAAGCACTGAAGCAAACTCTGCAGGCACGTGGGCTGCTGCATTGGGGGCGGCCTTGGAGCCGAAGGGTGAATGCTGACGCTGGCACAGCTCAGCAGCTACCCCGCCGGCTACGGGAGCGACCACGGCATGAACAGGGGATGGGGGGGGGGCCCCGCAGTGCTGAGCCTTGGGGGGGGGGGGGAGGGGGATTCGCGGGGACCTAGCAACACCCACCGAGGTGGCGGGGGGAGGGGAGCAGGGCTCTCAAGCGGTTTTGCTTCCACTTGGGTGGAGAGTGGCTCGGCTGGGAGCTCGGCACATCAGGCAGGCGAGCAGGTTTCAGGGCGGACGGTGCTTGGAACCAGACAGCCGTGGAAGGTGCTGGAACAGCTCAGGCGCTTGGGCCCCGATTCAGCAAAGCACTTGGGTGGGTGTTTCATAAAGCACTGACTCCCACAGGACTCCAGCGCTCTGCTGAGCCGGGGGCCGAGGCCGCAGGAGGGCGGGGGCTGGAGGAGGTAACCCACCGGGGGAGGGGGGTGCCACAACCCTGTAAATCCTCTCCCAGCCAGCCACCCACCACTGCAGCAAAGAGGAAGGGGCCGGCCTAATCAAGGGAAGAACCTCTGGGAAAGCAGCGTGCTGGAAACGCCAGTCCCCTGTGAGATTTCTGTAGCGCCTATCGCTGTAAGAGCGAACGCTGTCTTGCATCTGGACTCCATTCAGAAGCATCTCAACTGGGCAGGCGCTGAACAGGTCACCAATGCTTTTTTGGCAGGGTAAAGAGTGTGCTGGTCCTGCTACAGCCCAGCATGCTGATCTGGGAGACATGGGCTGATCTGGGAATTCACAAGTCCAGGGGCATCCAGAGAGTCTGATACCCAGCGGGGGCTCTTCCTACAGGCAGCTCTCACATCCCAAGCTTTGGCTCCCAAACCCCATCACGTTCTGCCCCATTTGCAGGAGCAAATCCGTTTCTGCTCTGGGCTCTTTGCAGAAGCAACTAACCAAGGTTCCATTCCTCCCCTCGCTCCATTTCTAGGAGGTTCCCAAGGTGGGGGCGGCATGGAGGGGCAGCTTTGGGGGCAGGGATTATCAGAGGTCAAGCGACGGCCAGACTAGAGCAATGGGCCACTATGAGAACAAGTCAGATAAGTGCTTTGCTGGGTCAGAACCTAAGTCACACATGTCTAGAAAACATGACCTAGGAGGGAAGACTGAAAAAATTGGGTTTGTTTAGTCTGGAGAAGAGAAGACTGAGGGGGGGCCAAGATAGCAGTTTCCAAGTACATAGAAGGTTGTTTCAAGGAGGAGGGAGAAATATTGTTCTCGTTAACCTCTGAGGATAGGACAAGAAGCAATAGGCTTAAATTGCAGCAAGGGCGGTTTAGGTTGGACATTAGGAAAAACTTCCTAATTGTCAGGGTGGTTAAGCACTGGAATAAATTGCCTAGGGAGGTGGTGGAATCTCCATCATTGGAGATTTTTAAGAGCAGGTTGGACAAACCCCTGCCAGGGATGGTCTAGATAATACTCAGTCCTGCCACCAGTGCAGGGGACTGGACTACATACCTCTCGAGGTCCCTTCCAGTCCTACGATTCTGTGTGACTGAAGTTAAGCACCGGTTTAAATGCCGGGCAGAATCAGGGCGCAAGCAGGGGATTTAGCGCTTGCAGGCAGGAATCACAGTGCCCTCAGTTTGTTATATGCATGGGCTGCCGGGACTGGCCACTGAGGGAGGGCGCGGGGCTCTGGAATATCCCTTGAGAATGTGAGGGCAGACCCCAGGCAGGCAGGCGGCATGCCCCGACTATGCTCACCGCTGTCCGCACCGCCGCGTGCTGGCTGTACACCGCGAGCTGCCGGAATGGCTCGTTCCGCTCGTTGAAGGAGATCGTCATGGCTACCAACCCACCGTAGCCGTGCCGCTCGCAGAAGGCGCACAGGTCCTGCTGCAAGCCAGGCCGCTGCAGGAAGGCCTAGGCAAGGACAGCGATCAGCGTCAGAGTCCGGAACGCACAGGCACGCGACGGGACAGGACGGCGGGCAACGCTGCCAGCTCCTGCCTATTTTACTACCCCTGCCCCCAGCACCACCCACTTGTCTCATGCACCTGTTATGTCTGAACTGTTCAGACTGCAGGCTCCTTGGAGAAGGGATGCTTATTTGGCAGCAGTGGGGTCTAGTGGATAGAGCAACAGACTGGGATGCAGGAGACCTGGGTTCTATTCCCAGCTCCGCCACTGGCCTGCTGGGTGACCTTGGGCAAGTTCCCTCTCTGACACTCAGTTCCCCACCTGTATTATGGGGATAACAACATTGCTCTGCCTCAGAGGTGGGTTGTGGGGGGAGGCGCTCAGATACTACACTGATAAGTACCACAGAGAGAGAGAAAACCCTCCACTGCCTTGCAAGGTAGATGGGCAGCATTAGCCCTACTTCACTGGCAGAGCTAGGGAGAGAACCCAGGAGTCCTAGCTCACAATCCTAGGATCAGCTTCTTCCCACTTGCACAGGGTAACATTTAAATGGCAAAATGCACAGACACCCAGCGGGCAAAAGCTGCTTTCACTCCTGGGCTCTATTCCCAGCTCCGCCACCGACTCCCTCCGTGGTCCGGGGCAAGTCACTTCACTTCCCCCGCGCCTCGGTATCCCCACGTTGTATTGATCCTTACCTCCAGCGTCACGTACACAGCACTGATGGCAAGAACGAGCCCGTCGCTCGACAGCACCTTAAGGTCCTTTCGCAGCATCTGGTCTGTAGTGAGCCCTGGAAAAACGAGAGGGGCAAGCGTGAGTGAAGAGGGACTTTCGTTCCCAGCGAGAGCTCAGATCACTTCCAGGGAGCTTTGTGTTTTGCTGCTCCAAAAGACTCAGACAGCGCTTGCACACACAACCCTCTGACCACGCTGCTAGGTGGATTCTTGGACTGTTTTCAGATACTCGTCTGATTTAGTGCCTCCAACTATCTAAGCTCCATGCAGCCCCTGCCCTTCCCATCCGTCCCATTTGATCCCCCCTCAATCCGTGAAAAGCCGGTACCTGTCACATCGAACTTGGCTGTCTGCAGAGCCTCAAACAGGACGCTCCTCGCCGGGAGGTCTGGGAACTTGGATTCCAACAGGGCCACGTACTGAGTGTCTTTGGGAGTCACTTTCCCAGCTTCTGGAGTCATATTGACACAATCCAGAATTATCGTACCTTTAAAGCAAAGAGAGCAGCAGTTGACACAGAAACACAGTGTGCTGTGAGCCAAGCCACGAGAAAACAGAGACCATACACAGTTGTTGTGGTCTCAGATATGAGTCAGGGAGTTAGAGCCGCTGGGTCTAGACAGGTGCTTTGGAATATCTCCCCTAGGCAAAGCCATGTGGCAGTAAACTGGCCTTGCAGGAGTCCAGGCTTTGCCGCTTCCAGGGTCAGTGCAGATGCAGCCGTGCGGAGCATGCTGCTGCTTAGGGGTTGGTTTTACAGCCAGCAGGATACAGCCTGGGGCACGGGCCTGATATTTGCAGCTGTGGGTCTCCGCCCCAGAACGCTACACCCCTCCCTGAGCATCAAAGCCGGCGAGCACTGCTCTCACCACGCAGCAGGGCGGCCGTCTGTCTGTCCAACAGCTCCGCTGGGCCCTGCACGATCCTCTCCGTCACCAGCGTGGCACAGGAGCCCACCAGCTCCGCGGTGACCCTGCACCGAGGCGCCCTCTCCAGGGGCCGATGGTCGATCACCTCGATCACGGCCTCCTCCAGGGCTGCGTCTCCGCTGGGCGGGCGAGACGGGGAAGTGAGAGTGCCCCTCTCTGGAGAGGTGGGTGCAGGCCGGGAAAGGCCCTGGTTTCGTCCCCAGGCGTTTCTCTCTGCCATTTCTCCCCCCATCCCCGCCCCAAAACGAGGGACTTAGGGTCAATGGAGTCACCCCAGGGATGGATCCTGTCCTTTTGGCGTCACCATCCACCCCAAAGCATCCAAGGGCGTTATGGCGCACCCTGGTGGGCGTTAGTGTGTATTTATCGCATCACCCTGGGGATGGACCGAAAATTCCTCCACTCTCGGGCTCTTTTCCTGCCCCCCGATCCAAAAAGGCCGAAGCGGGGGGGGGGGGGGGTGAAGGGCTTATTTCCTCTACACTGAAAATATATTGACATGCACATGCAAAGAAGCTGAGCTGAAGGCGGTGCTGCAGCGAGGGGAGGGGGTCTTCAGCCCCTAAACAGGGAAAGGATGGTATGGCAACTGGGACGGTGAGGTTGGGGTAGTCATGTAGAGGGGGAGACAATACCCAGAGCGTGGGCAGGGGTGAGGGTGGTGTAGGAATGGGGGGGGTGGCAAGGCAGGCACAGGAAAGGATGGTAGACACGCATGTGGAAGACGAAGGGGGAACGCCATCGTGTTTGGGTTCCCAGCGCTGCAGGGGAACACTGTGCAAACCTGCCTGCTCATATCAGAGATTTTACAGCTCATCCCCTTTAGCAAAACCCTCCCAGAGCACCCAGGGATGCAGAGCAGCTGTGGGGAAGCCGCAGCTCCTGTCTATAGGCCCCTTCCAGCCACGAGAACTCTCCCGGCTCCTCCCAAGGAAGCTGAAGGGTTCATGAACTTGTCTGGACGTCAGATCCGCTCTGGTGGGTAACAGCCCATCCTGCCCAAGCCCTCTGTGCCTTGTCCCATGCTGACCTCCGTGTGCAGAGAGCTGTCCCTGGGAAAGACCCGTCTCTTCCCCAGTGCCCATGAGACGTGAGCCAACAGCAAGATTAGGAATATTTTAAAGCGAGTCACTTGCTCCTCTAGGGGTTCCCACCTGCCCTTGTGCACCTGTCTTGCACAATCCAGCAAGGAGGCCATCCACTCCATGGACAAGACAGTCCCTCTGTTTATAAGGCTAAGCAATTTCATCTACTTCGATTGCAAGCTCATTGGGGCAGAGGCCGTCCTTCTGTTCTGTGTCCGTACAGTGCCTAGCACAACAGGGTCCTGGGCCAGGATTCTACCACAATACAAATAATAACGTCTTCATTCGCCCATCATTTACTCCTCAGTCCATCCTGCCTGGAGCCCCCACTTTCCCCCCCACCAGGGATTTAAAGATAACACTGAGCTGTCGTATCGCGCGTTCTATCCGTAGATCTCAAAGCACTTTACAAAGGTGGTTCAGTGTCCTTAGCCTCATTTTACAGATGGGGACACTGAGGCACAGAGAGGGGAAGTGACTTGCCCAAGGTCACCCAGTAGGTCGGTGGCAGAGCCAGAATTTGACACACACACCCCAGATCTCCTAAATCCCCTGCACTGCCTCTCCACTTGCCTCGGCAGGATGTGATGGTCGACCAGCGTCAAGGAGAGGAGGCCAGCCCGGTGCAGCGCACGCAGGTCGATCTCATCCCGGAAGATCAGGCAGCTGTCGGGGATCTGCTGCTCCTGCAGGAGGAAGGCGCTCTCTGTGCGCAAGGGGAACTCCGAGCGGGGGATGTTCAGCACGGGGACAAATGCCGCCTTGGACTCCAGAGAGGTCTGCAGGAGAACGCAGCGAACCACAGGGACGGTTAGCAGCAGGCCTTGGCTACGGAGAGCACGGCCCAGGGTGGGTCCAGGCATCACACAGCAGCTCTAGCGTGTGTTGGTCTTAGTGCTATGTGGTCGCCAGCCCATTTCCCCACATCCCCTTCCCTCCCCATCCCTGTTAAATCCACCCCAGCCGAAGCAGAGCACCAAAGCGGAGCCAAGCCTCAGGGCAGCACTCACCTTTGCCAAGTAATAAGCCAGGGCAAGCGCCGACACCACGGAGTCCAGATCGCAGGCTTCATTCCCCAGCACCACGTGGACTTCCTGCCTGTGCTGGACATGTTCCTGCCAAGAGACAGGAGGCTTTGAATCCCAGCAGAGCAGGCCCAATGCCGCTGGCACGGGAAAAAGACTCACTCCCATGTGCTGACGCAGAAGGAAAGTACAGGCTGTCTCCCCTGTGGGCAGGCTGAGCTGGGAGCGGCACGGGGGGGGTCTGACATGGCAGGGTCTTCCCGCCCAGCTCCTCCCTGCCTGGCCCAGTAAGGCTTGCTCATCTAGACCCTTTGCTGGCTTAAGGACCTGAGGCTCCCAAGTTCATCTGCTGAGCAATCCAGCACCACATTTGAACCTGATCGCTCCCGGCCCCCCAGAGCATGTGTCCTACCCAAGCACGTAGCCAGCGCCTGCCCCACTCTCCTCCTCGCATTAAATGAAGATGCTGAGCAGGACGTCTGCCCTGCCGGGACAGGAGAGGAGTCCGTAGGGTGAGCAGAGAAAACGAAGTGGCCAGTCATGGCTTCCAGGGGCTACGAGCAGATGGGCGAGACCAGGTCAGCACCACACCTGGGCTCCTCCAAACCCTGCTTTTGGATTCTCTGCCACCAAGATGCAGGGCCGGCTTTAGGCCAATTCCACCAATTCCCCCGAATCGGGCCCCGCACCTAAGAGGGCCCCGCGCCCAGTGGCAGGGCTGCTGGGGTGGGGGCAAGTGGCTGAGAATCCCTTCCCTGGCTAGAGGCTCCTTTTTAATTTTTACTCACCCGGCGGCGCTCTGGGTCTTCGGCGGCACTTCGGCAGCGGGTCCTTCACTCGCTCCGGGTCTTCGGCAGCACGTCCTTCAGTGCCGCCGAAGACCCGGAGCGAGTGAAGGACCCACCACCAAAGACTAGGAGCGCCGCCCGGTGAGTACAAGCCCCACGTGTTTTTTTACATGTTTTGGGTTTTTTTTTAGTCATCCCTGCCGGGGCCCCGTCGAAACTGTTCGAATTGGGCCCTGCACTTCCTAAAGCCGGCCCTGCCAAGATGCTCCAAAGGTAACAGTGACCGGACACCTCTGGGTTAGAGGAGCCAATATAAGGAGAGACGTTCCGCTGATTAGAGACGCTCTCCGTAGTGCTAGATTCGCCTCCCACTCATCCTACCCCACTGACTCCCCCAGATTTACAGGCCGGCAGAGTTTAGAGACGCACCTCGGGCTGTCCGCCCCGCAGTGACCACCCCGACCCAGCCTGAAACTGACAAAGGAACGGAATCCCTTCGGGAACACAGCAAGAAGGAGCTGCATGACTGTTTTCCACTCGCACCCCTTCAGCTGGCAGCAGCGTCGTTCAGTGGCTAGAGCAGGGGACTGGGAGCCAGGACTCAGCTCGGGGGGGGGGGGGGGGAGTACTCGCTCATGCTCAGACCAGGGGACTGGGTATCAGGACTCCTGGGGCCCATTCCTAGCTCTGAAACTTTGGGCCTGTAAAATAAGGTTAATACTACAATACTGTCCAACGGCACAGAGAGGGTATGAGGCCTGCTGTGTGCAAACGGCTCGGAGGCCCTTGGGAGGAAGGCAATGTCAGTACCACCGGCGACTGCTTTGCACTGTGCTCACCGCAGGTCAGCATGCTGCGAAAGGGCTGCTCTGTGTATTGAAAGGGAGATAAACATCTGGGGTTCACGGAGCAAAAGGGAAGGTTCCTGGCAGCCTATAACAAAACACAGGCAGCCAGATCTCAGCACTGCGTGCTCCTAACACAGCAGGCCCATAACCGGCTCATCAGAGACGCAATCAAAACTCCAGCTGCTATTGATTCTCTTTGGTTCTGAAACATGGGGGGGATGGGGAAGGATTGAGGGGGGGAGGCACGTGCAAAGAGAGCTGCAAGAACAAGCTCTGGGCCAGATTCTCCTTTCACACCACTTTTACTCTTGTGTAACTCCACTTTAGACCAGTGCCCGTGGGAAGATAAGCAGGCTCCTCTGGTTGCAGCCAGAAGTTCAGATGCAAGGAAAACGGAAAGGGATGAAGGAGGGAGTTTAAAACTGAGGGGCACGATTCTCTGTTTGCCACGAAGTCATTTACAACAGTGCAACTATGCTGACCTGCCAGCATTTTACAGCGGCGTAAGTGACGGCACAAAGTGCAGGGCAAATGGAGAATCAGGCCCAAGATGTTTGAGGTTCAACGTGAACGTGGGGTGAAGGGCTGGCTGAGACACTTATGGCCTCTCTGAGCGAGCTCTGACGCTCCAATCTCTACACTGGCCCTTTTGCTACAGTGCTGAAACTTGCCAGTGAAAAGTGAGCCTGCAAACTACACATGGGTAGCTAGGTCTGGGTGACCGCTTATGAATGAAGCATTTGGTACCTGCAAAAGCAAACAGATGCAGCAGCCAAGCAGCCCTCCTTGTCAGACAGCAAACAAGGCAGATTTGCACCAGCTCCCTAAAAGCTATTTGCCATTCCCCGCAGGTGCTAAGAGGCAGCATCCGTTTCCCAGTTACCGTCAAGAGAACAGGCAGACACACTCAGCGCCGGTTTGAAGCCTGGCTGGCCAAGCACTTTAGATAAGCAAGGCTGGGATAGTGCATTTATGGAGTAGAGTTAAGAGCTGCAGGTTATCGAGCGAACATGCAAAACAGCAGCATATGGCCCCAGGGAGGAAAGAAAACAACCTCACCGAGAAATGCACAAGCAATTTGCACTAAAAGGCACTCAAAGGCCTTGGAGAGGGATGTGTACAGCCTTTTCAAAGCCAATTTACCTTCACGCTAGTCCCAGCCATTCCTGCAAACACATTAAATCAACATGACGGGTCTGAGCCATTAGGATTGTAAGAGACACACTAGCACCATTTGGCATCAGAAGGGTTTTGGGGGGGGGGGGGAAGGCAATTAAAATTGTCATTCCATCTAAATAATACAATCATCTAGTCTGATCTACTACATACCACCGGCCACAGAACCTCACCCAGTAACTTCTGCATCCAGCCCAGACCTTCTGGCTCGGCAAGCGTGTATCTTGTACAAAGACATCCCGCCCTGACTCAGTGTCTGCACCACCATGACCCTAGGAGAGTTGCTTTAGCCTAGTCAGCACTGATTCACTTCTATAGCACCCGGTGCGTCTCGATTTGAGATCCTGGGACTGCAATCCATAACAGTGGTAGGTCTCTTCCTGGGATACTGGATTCAATCCTGGCCCCGCTATCTCCAGAAGGAGATTGCCAGAACAGAGAGGGCCTTATGGGAAAACATTCAGATTGAAAAGGCGGAGAGGGTTTAGTTTCCAGAAGCGATGCGAGAGGGAATGTGATTGAGTATGTAAAATAGCAGACAATGGAGAGAAGAGAACTTGGGACAGTCCTAGTTATCTTCCCAGAACACAAGAACAAAGGGACATTATTCAGCAGAAGGCAGCCAGTTAAAGACCGTGGAAAGGAAATGGTTTTATTTGTACACAGTGTGCACCTAGCCTGTGGGACTCACTGCCACAAGATTTCAGCAAGGTGAACAGCTCAGTCAGATTCACAAGGATTGGATTTTTATACTGGTAATGAGGGCCTCCAAAGATACTTTAGGTGGGATTAAAGAAAAGATTGGAAGGGAAATAGACCTTCCTGCTTCAGGGCACACACGGCCACTAAGTGAAGGTGACAGGAAGAAAATTCCTTTACAAGCAGGTTATTCCGTAGCGGCCCACCGCAAAGGTGGCTTGCACCTGCCTCTGAAGCAGCTGGTACTGGCCTCCTTAGGAGACAGGATAGTGAGCTGGCTATAGAGAGGAAGGGTGGTGCAGTGGTTAAAATGCTAGACTGGGGCACAGGAGATGTGGGGTCAAGTCCCTGTTCTGCCTCAGGCTTCCTTGCACAATTCACTTAGTGGCACATTTTCAAAAGCACCTAAGTGACTTAGGAGCCTAACTCCCATTTTCAAAAATGACCTAGACACCGAAGAGTCCAAACCTCATCGACTCTGAATAAATCACTTGGGTGCATTAGCACATTTCCCCCTTCGCCTCTCTGTACCTCAGTTTCCCCTCTATACAATGGAGATAATAGCCATGCCCTGCCTCGCAGGGGGGCTGTGAGGATAAGTACATTAGACTGGGAGGGGCTCGGATGCTGCGGGGATGGTGATCAGACTCAGTCTGGCAATTCCTATATTCCTAATTTGTGAGATACAGAAGGTGGGGGGGGGGGGAGCAAGAAAAGAAAAAAGTTCACTTTTGAGCTACTTCTGCAACTGTAAATAGAAAATGCCAATGGTGCAGACCTGTAGTGATGGCAGAATCTGCTGATGAGGAACTGACTCATTCATACTAACAGAACACGAGGCTTATCTCAGGCGCTGAGTTCATCTTTTGGGTTCAAAACTGAGAGGGGAAGGGGAAGCCGACAGGCAAGGGCAACTTTGGAGACACAGCCACAAAAACAAGTTGCAGGGAGGGAGTAGAAGAGATCCTAACCCAGCATGCCAGGTGGCTCACAGAGCCTTGGCCAGCAACCTGCCAAACTAAACCAGAGTTTCTTCATACACCATGAGCAGACAGACACCGTGGGGCTGAATGACAGAACGTCGGTCTGGGAGAACAACGAGGAAAGACAGAGGTTATGTCTACACTGCAATCGGAGGTGTGACTGCAGCTAAAACTAGCAGTGAAGACGCAGTGACACAGGCTTCAGTGCGGGCTGGAACAAGCCCGCCAGGGACCCTGGGTATGCGGTTGCATTGCTAGCTCGCATGGGGGTCCACGTCGCTGTGTCTTCACTGCTAGTTTTAGCCACGCTAGCTAGTATCGACATAGAGAGCCCAGCGTGGGAGGGTGTCTACTTGAAAAGTCTGCACCCAACAAGAGTCAAAATCGCTGCTATTGTCTGCCCACAGCGCAATCCTCAGCGATTTGAAGGGGTAATTCACAGAAACAGTAGCATAGCTATATATACACGGCACATACCCAGCAGGGGACTGGAGAGGACTTGAATCTTCTGAAGTGGTCTGATCAAGGGAGGTCACAGACCCACCATCCCAAGCCAGGGTAGTATTCAGAGCAATTTACTGCAGTGCCTAGAGAGGTCTGCACTGAGCGTGGAGCCCCACTATGTCAGGCACTGTACCCCAAGACAGTTCCTGCTGCGAAGAGCTTACAGCCTAAGCAAACAAAACAGAAAGGGAGGGGAAACTGAGGCAGAGAGCAGGAAAGTGATTTGCCCAAGGTCACTGGGAGAGCTAGGACTAGGATTAGAACCCAGGACTACTGAGGCCCAGTTCAATGTGCTATCCCACTGGGCCATGCTGCCGCTCAGGCTTCTGGCATCCCCTTTTCTCCTGCCCAACTTTTCTTTTTCTTTTTTTTTTTAGCCTTGCAAAGGTAACGCGCATGGTCTCACACCCAGCCTGCAGGCAGCGTTAATTTGCAGGCCCAGCGGCAGCGCGACTTCACGTGAGTCTCAAGCAAATGCAGCAGACTTATTTTTGCAGCAGGCAAAGACGCACACGAATAGCAGCCCGACGACGTCACCGACGCGCTCGGCGCAAACAGGCCGCACTCAATGAGCCGCACACAGAGGCTTGTTTATGTGCAGCCTCAAACAAACAGTTATTATGGAAGAACACCCATCCTGCATTCATCCTGCCAGCAGAGTCCGTCAGGCCGGGAGAAAGAAGCTTT